TTTACGAAAAATCATGTTTTTAGCTTGTGGATCCTCAAGATTTTGATGTAACTTAAAATATATGTTTTTAACCCAAAGATTGCAGTTCCTTTCATCAATATTGGCACATATTTGATTGTAACTTCCTGGATTATGGCCCTGATTGTATGAAGAATCACGATTTTAGCTGTGGATCGTCTAGAAGTCACAATTTTTATCCGATTTTGATGAAACTTAAAATGTATGTTTATTTGATTTTAAAAAACGTTCATATATATCACCGTTACACCATCATTACAGTAAATCAAACCGAAACTGCCTAAGAAAATGGCTACTTCCCTGTTTGCATAAAATGTAAAAGTATGTAATAACAAGGTTGTGGACCCTCTAGAGGTCATGATCATAATTTTTATCTGATTTTAATGAAACTTAAAACATATGTTTATATTCCAAAGAGAGGATGCTGCCTGTCGATTTTCATTGTTACATGAACTTCCATTCTGGAGTTACACCTCTTTGTGGTAAACTTGATGAATGCGATATAAAGACTACAGTTTTTATATACCCACATTGAAATGGGATAGTAGGCTATATTCTCGTCACCTTAGTCCTTTAGATATACATATCATACAGATGTCTATTAAATTGATTGTTGACGATTTCCGATAGTTCCTGTCTAAGTAATATGGCTCCTGATCACTATCTCGAGAGATCCAGGTTATGATCTGATTGACTTTGAGATGTAGAATACTGTGGGTTTTCAATGATTTCCAATAATTACTGCTACTCTTATGGCCCCTGATTACTTTGAAAAAAATTGTGGATGCTCTTGTGGCGAATGTTATCCAATTGAAATGTATACAGTGTTTGAGGTCTTGAGACAAAGACGCCTATTGATTTACATATTAAATGTAAACGAAATGAAATGAAATGAAATGGAGTTTAACGTCCTACTGTTCTGCTCCTAACCTGGGCTAATGAAGACGGGCATACGCCATACAGTGTGCTATGAGGGAAATTTTGCCCGGACTGCGGCACTACGGCCTACTCATATATCGAATTCCAACTGCCAAGGGATCTTTTACGTGCACGCCAATGTGTACACGGGACCTCGGTTTTTCGTCCCATCCGAACGACTAGACAGCTTTCCTTGTCAGTCCCTCCGGCCTGCATCACTGACAAGGGAGTTAAATGTAAACACTGCAGTGTTTAAGCCTTTAAGGTCTTGAAACAAAGACGCCTATTGATTTTCAATGAATTTTGGTCAGCAAAATTCAAGATATTACATGTTTTGTATACGTTATTATAGTATAAGGCAGAACTACAAGCCAAACAAATTCTAATGTTACTTGTAAATGCTCTCTTTACTGACAAATGTTACGTTGCCTGGAAATCTATATTCCTTCATATCAAGGTCGTTGGTCCAGCGCTTAGTTAATCTTTTTTCAAAATGTCTATTCACCAAACATCATTCAGCAAATGACAGCATCTTTCAGCAAAAAACAGCGTACAGGATAATCATATAATGTTACAATATCAAATGAAGACTTTGATCTTCTAAATTTATTTGGTACTTTGAAGTTTGATAGGCATACAGTTACTGTTCTGGTAAATCATTAAGCAACTATGTTATATTTCACGGTGTGAATTCACGTTTTTGTTTGATACTCTGTACACGATGACAGAGTAATGTATCTTTTTAGCTGAATTCAATAATGAAGGTAGTAAATTATCCTAACTTTTGATCCATTATCAATACTAAGTGACAGGTCATTATTAACTTCACAATTGACCTGAGTCTTTCGATACAAACTTTAATTACATTTAATGACAAGTCTGTGAATTATTGCAAATTTACTTTCATTTTGAAATAAGGGGTGTTATGCATGTTACCCTTCATTGTTTTTTGTGAGATATTTAATAGAATTGTTTCTTATATTATATTTTGATCAAACTGTTATTTTAATTTTTGCTGGAATAAGAAATATTATTTTTGTGGTATGAACTATATTATTAAAATACAAGTATGTTTGTGATTAAATTTACCCCTTAAACAAATAGTATCATGGAATCTTCTAATCTGAGAATGAAGTATAAAAGTTAATTGTAAGAAGGAATCAGGTAGATTAGAGTTGAACATTGGAGGTTAAAGTTGTAAAAATCTTCCTGTTTGGCAGCCATTGGATTTAATCTGTTACATTCGACATACTAACATTTTGAAATTTTCTTATCTTTTTGTTAAAAGCAATGGATTAAATGTAAATTATTCTACTAATCTAGGTGACATCTACAAATGATTGGACTTAACAGGAATTAATGCAAACTTTTAACGTGTTAGTAATCCAGAATTCTAGTAAATATTATCCAGTGAAGAAAGAAACCTGTAAATTAATTAACTTTTGGTTTGGTATAATTTGTCAATAATGGAAAACAATAAGACATTTTTAACAGACAACCCTGTGTCTAATTCAAAATTAAATCCAAATTCTAGGCCTGTTGATGAGAAATATGAAAGTAAATGTTCACCTGTATCAAGTGATGACAGTAAAACTAGTGTGTGTTTTGACTTTTCGAAGTTAACTATGGATGCTCTAACAGGACAAATATCACAAGTAGAAGTTAAAAGGAAATTTAGTGATACAACTGAGGTATAGTTTCTCAAAACGTTACAGGGGGTTGGATGGCCGAATGGTTAGAACGTGCGCGCTGTATCATAAAGCCTGTCATTGAGTCAACTGGCGTGGTTTCGAATCCCCGGTTGTACGTGACAAGGAGTAGGGTCACCTGTCCAACCTCGTGGGTTTTCTCTGGGTCCTCCGGTTTCCTCCCACTGCTAAAGACCCCTACGCACAAGCGAATTATTGATATAAAATTAAAAACTGTATGTTAGTCCCGAAATGACCTAGTTTGTGTCCAGTGGACGTTAAATCCCATTTCTCTCTCTCTCTCTCAAAACGTTACAATGCTTTTTCAGCTTCATCAGTTGTTGGCACTGATTTTTGACCATGATGTGTATTATAGGGTTTATGTATGGACCCACATTTATGCGTAAAAGTTGATAAAAACAGACTGACAAAGAATCAATCGAAAATGATTTTCACACAAATGGAATTGAATTTGAATTCCAATACAAAATAGACTCAAAAACATATTTTAATACACCCATATTGTCATGTGGATGTATTATAACAATAATAATAATCCTTGATATTTATAGCACAGAAACACTTTTTAATAGTTTCTATTCCGCGTTGAAATTAATTAATGTGAATAAGCTTTGTGAAAAAGCAGGGTTTTGATTTGTTTTTTTTAATGTTTCTGTTGACTATATGGATTGCACATTCTTAATATTTTTTAGTGTTTCGTTCTACAATAAAGGAGCAGAAAAAGAGAAGGCACATCTTCCTATTTGTAAATTAAACTTTGGAATACTATTAAGTTGACTCTTATCAGAGGATCTAAGACATTGATGAGCTGTGTGTGGAGTAACTAAATCTATCATATAAGATGGAACTGTATTTTTCAGAAATGAAATGGGGTTTAACGTCCTACTGTTTTGCTCCGAACTGGGCTAATGAAGACGAGCATACGCCATACAGTGTGCTATGAGGGAAATTTTGCCCGGACAGCAGCACTACGGCCTACTCTTATATCAAATTCCAACTGTCAAAGGATCTTTTACATGCACGCCAATGTGTACAGGGGACCTCGTTTTTTTGTCTCATCCGAATGACTAGACAGCTGTCCTTGTCAGGCCCTCCATCCTGCATCACTGACAAGGGGGAACCACACCGGAAAATCTAGCAAGTCAGTGTCTTACCCAATGTCTTTATATGTCAGTTATAGGATTTTAAAATTGATGCGTTGTTCAATGGGTAACCAATGTCGAGATTTAAGTAATGAGGTTATATGGTCATATTTTCTGGTTGAAGTTAAAAATCTTGCTGCTGATAGTTCTGTACATGTTGAAGTTGTTGGATGAGATAATTTGGGTGTTTGTATAAAAGTGCGTTGTGGTAATCTAGTCTATTAGTAACAAAGGAGTGAATAAGAAGTTCTTTAGATTTAGGAAAAAGATTTAAAACATAGGTGCGAATCAAGAATAGCACCTATATTCTTTGCTTCTTCTGAAGGGTGGATGGTCTGTTGTTGGAAGTTCAGCTTTGTCACAGAGAGTTTCTAAAGTTGTTGTTTAGTTCCAAGCAGGAGAAGCTCTGTTTTCTCTGGATTTAATTTAAGAAAATGGCACGTCACCAAGTTATGAATTTCTGGAATTATGTAGCCGCCCCTATCCATCTGTGCGCCTGGAATTTTGTGGACCCTCCATAGGTTTATATCCCCAAGATCTCAGTTCCTTTCGATTATGGCACATATTGGACGGTAACTTCCTGGATTATGGCCCCTGTCGATTGTCCGAAAATTGTCTTTTTTTTTTAGCTTGTCCATCCCTTGCAAAATATGGGTGTATAATGCATGGCAACTGCTTGTTTGATTTTAAAAACCAGTGAAATATATCACCGTTACACCATAATGACAGTTGAGTTTGAACTTAGCGAAAATCAACTGAAACTGCCAGACAAAATGGCCACCACCTGTACGCAAATAAAGTATGTAATAACGATGTTGTTGACTCTCTAGAGCTCATAATTTTTTATCGGATTTTGATGAAACTTAAGATATATCCCAAAGATCTCGATAGTGCATATCGGACCCTAACTTACTGGATTATGGGCGCTGGTTGTACGAAAAATGTGATATAGCTTGTGGACCCTCTAGAAGTAACAATTTTTATCAGTTACATATATCACTGTTACACCATGATGACGATTTCGTGAAAATTGGACCGAAACTGCCCAATAATGTCAAAGTATGTAATACCAAGTTTGTGCACTCTCTAGAGGTCACAATTTTGCTCTCATTACCAACAAATATTAACACAACTGTAAATTTTAGTACTTGTTTCATGGTACACAATGAAAGATAAAGGATATGCCAACACAAACTGGTTACATATATTTCAGATCGAAGAAAAGATTAACATTGATACACTAGAAGAATTAAAGAAAGCATTTCTTACTGCTGATGTTAATCAAACAGGTTGTCTAGAATTGGATGAATTTAAGCAATTATTAAAATGCCAACTTCATTTATCTCAGACCAAGGTAGGACATATTTTTTGAAAGTTATTTAATTTTAGAATATATAAAGCTTTTAGATTAAAAACAACTGAGAACACTGTGAAATATGCATCCAAACTTATTGAGTTCCAGAGTTTCAAACCAATAACATCCATATCTAGAACTGCGATGAGCAGACAAGACAAGCTACCCCCCCCCCCCCCCCCGAAACTAAACATAACTAATGTTACCAAGATTTTAACACCAAGCTTTACCATGCTCCACTGGTCACTATAAGCCTCAGTTTAATGGTTGCTTGAAGCTAGATACTAAATTTAAAATGTTTCCTGTTTTTCCAAATATCACACGAATAAAGATCCAAATTGTTACTGGTATATGAATGAAGTTTTAGCCACAAAATATCCAATTAAAGAAATATATATTCTTGCACAAAATGTAAGAAATGCTACAGAGCTCTGAAGAGTAGCCTACACACTCAAGTCAGCAAATGCACAGCACGAGGTTAATGTAAACATTAATCTGTACACAAATAAACACTATACTTAGTCATTTTTTACTGATTTTGACAATTTCTGATTTTCAGTCCCTTTATACCCCCACATTGAAATGTGGTCGTATATTGTTGTTGTCAGTCCGTCATACATAATTGGTTGTGGACACCCTAAAGGCTGAAGTTAAGATCCAGTTGACTTTAAATTTATACACAGTGTCATGAGACGTAGAAGCCTGTTGGTTTTCAATGATTTCTGATAATTACTGCCGTTGATCATTCTGAAAATTTTGTGGAAGCCTCTGGTGGCTAAAGGAGATATACAATTGACTTTAAATATATGCACAGTGTTTAAAGTCATAAGACGAAGAAGCCTTTAGTTTTTCAACAATTTCCAACAATTACTGCCTGAGTTATGGCCCTTGATCACTTTGAAATATCTTGTGGATGCTCTAGAGGCTAAAGTTAATATCCAATTGACTTTAAATTTCTACACATTGTTTAAGGTCATGAGACGAAGAAACCTATACATTTTCAACGACTTCTGATAATTACTGCCAGAGTTATGGCCTTTGATCACTTGAGAAATCTTTTGGTCACACTAAAGGCTTAAGTTAATATAAATTTATACACAGTGTTTATCATCATGAGACAGACAATCAAAACAAATTCTAATGATTTCTGATAATTACTTAATGGGTTGTTACTCGTAATCAGATTTTTAGTGTGTTGTAAATGTTGTCATTAATGATACGTGATAAAAGAAAAAATATGAGACGACCTACAGACAACACTTGTCGACTGCATGGATGGCTTAATTTGTGTTCTGTATTTTTGGCAATTTGAAATTACAAGACATATTATTACAGTTACAACAGATAGATGCCCTATTTATGAAGATAGATTGGTCATCAGAAGGCGCTATAACGTGGGATGAGTTTTGTACATACATGCAGTTAGAATATGCAGAGAAAGAAGATTCATATCTACGTGCCAAAGAAGTGGCCTTTCAGTTACCAGCAAAAATTGAAAACCTGCCTCACAGAGATCCAATATTACGCATCACTGACACGCCTGATGGTACATTTATAGCATGTAGTCAGGTTAGTAAACTGTATCTTATATCTAGATATATTTATATCCATATATATATAGTAATATTTCTATCGTTGTCTCAGTATCCTACTTAAAGATGCATTATGTAACAGCTAAATCTGCCTATTGCAGATCTTTCATTTGGCCTCAAATGTTATATAAATCATTAATTAGACATTTATTCACATGCCAAGCTCATAATCATCATAATCAACTCTGAAGGCAATCAGATAGTTTTGATTTTCAACAGATTTAAACACGACTGTTAGTAATTTAATCTGATTGATTTTAAATTTATATAATACATGGTGTTCTGAAATGATGAAACCTATTGATTTTCAACAATTTCCCATAATTACTGCCAGGGTCATGGTCCTTTAGCACTTTGAAAAATGTTGATGCTCCCAAGACCACATTTATCATCCGATTGACTTTAAATTAACATATAATTAAGACTTTTCCAATATTTTGTTCTATTTGATTTTTTTGATTGTGTACATATAGTCTTTAAATTCACGAGACAACAGAGTCTATTGATTTTCATTGATTTCTGATAACTTGAACAGTTAAATTCATGATATTAAATGTTTTGTATACTAAACCTTGGCATGTGGCAGAACTAGAAGCCAAACAAATTCTAATGATTTCTGATAATTACTTAATAGGTTGTTAGTTTGTTACTCTTAATCAGATTTAAGTGTGTTGTAAATATTTTCATTAGCGACAGAAGAAAGATATACGACAAGCTTTGTTGACTGCTCGCAGTACTTAGCTGGTGTGGGTGTATGTTTCATTGCCTGTTAACCTATCTTTTTTATTTAGGATGGTATAGTATCATTTTGGTCAGCTAATTGCGAATTGAAAAGAACAAGAAGTGTAGTGGTAAGTGTTATTTATACTCACTGTGTATGGCCTCTACTTTACATTTGATCTATGTTATTTGTCATGCCCTCTTGTTTGTCTTCCTCAATCCAGTTTTCTATAAGCTTATATTCTCTGTTCCTAAACTAAAGTTCTCCCAACGAATGATATGGAATTACAAAAATACAAATGTTGATGGTATACGCACAGAAACATTAAATACTAACTGGTACAATCTCTTTGATCATTATGATGCATCCTGTGTTCAATTTACTAGTAAATTGATTAATATAGACTGCATCTTCAAATGAGCCCCCTCCACTAATACTCCCATGTCCCAGTTCATTCAGCTTCCTCTTCATGTACTATTTGTTGTCTAGGTATGAATCCTCATTTTGAACCTGTTCTCATACTATTCTCTCCTGCATATCTTTGCAGGGCTCAAAGTTTGCCAATTTTATAAAAAATGGTCTTAGTTAGACAGTGAAGCCTCTCTAACTAAGGCCATTTTGTTCAACACAAGGGCATTTTTTTCAGTTTAGAAATTATAGAAGGCCATTTATTAAAATTTGTTGAAAACTTAAATAAACTTTGAGGATGCAATAATACAGTTCAATCAGCTCTTTGTTCAAATCAGTGAAAATGTTATGAGAATTGTTGTATAGGCTACCAATGGACTTGACATTTGTTAGAAACAAGAAGTTTGACTAGTTATAGCATTATCATGGCACATGTTTAAACAAACAGAACATAATAATTTGATATTCACTGTTAAGGGTTGGGGCATTGACTTTCTGGATTAAGGAAGAAGAGATGGGGGACTTCTACAATTTTTACAGTCTCAATAAGTCGTTATTCAGAAGAGACAATCATATCATCAACAGAATTATCTCAATCATCACTTTCAATTCCACAATTCCACTTTCTAATATTACTAGCTCACTAATTTCTTTTTCGGTCCATAGGCATAAGGGAGGGTAGAAGGTCTTCTTTGAACACAAACCTGAATCATACCACTTACTACACAGTGGGCATTAGGTTTGATGTCCTCGGCTGAGTTTCTAATTAAATTTTCCTCAGTTCTAGGCTTCAGTGATAAGTGCCGTTCTCCGATAATTCTCTTTGTTGTCGAAAATAATCTTTCAACATGGGTTGTGCCAGCAGGCACACACAATACTATAATAATTATGATATGAAATGAAATGGGGTTTAATGTCATCCTGTTCTGCTCTGACTGTGCTAATAATATGTATTATGTTTGGATATCTGTCTTTCTTACAGGTCAACACAGTTTTCTATATGTTTTAAAATTTTTCAGTTTTATGATGTGATTTGGTGTCCCTTTTTAGTGTAATCCATTCCTTACTTCCTGGTTTTGAATGTTCAGTTAGAGACTTTATATGTTCATTTCCATAGGTTAGTAAATTATCATTCTCTCATGACCAATTTGCAGGGTCTGTGAAGTCCACTGCCTTCATCACTTGATCTTCCAGAAATGAGAAGAATCTGACTTTAAAATGTAAGAGTATCTTGTCAACCATTTCCGAATTCCTTCTTCTGAGGCTAAATCATTCCCTTGTAGACATTGTACCAGTAACAGTTAACTGGCATTTGGACTTTACGGAAGCTACAGTTTAGTGGTTCGATCTTGAGTATTTCAAGTGAATCCACAGCAGTTTGTACCTGGGTCCTTAATCCATTTTGAAATGAAGCTACCACAGGTAGGCCTAACGGATAGTCATCTTCTCAATTAATAATCCAAATGAATGAAAGAATAAATCAATGTTTATGAATGAATGTTATGATAATCTGTTTGTAGAATATGAATCTAAATACAATCACACTGTATAGTATCTCAGAAGAGTCTTTAAATGCATTTTTCAGTGCCAACTCAAATTTATGAGCCATACAGTAAGTGAATAACTACTATCCATGGGTCGACATTCCTCAAAAGTGTAATTATGCCATATCTTGTCCCCAAATTTACGCTGGCTCCATCAGCAGCAGCAGCAACCAAGTGCTTCTTGGTATTTATATCGTAATCAGCAAATAAACCACTAGTGATTCTCAGCATCTACATACTGAAGATGACAAACTCTGAAAAAAAAGAAGAAATCATTCATTATTTTTAATAAAATTAATTAGGCCTGACTGTTAAAAAATACCAGGTTTCCTGTTTGAATGCTATTATTGTGTCCCCAAATGCTTCAGAATTCACCCAAGTTCACACCAGGGGAGACTGAAGTCAAAGTAGAGTCCAATTTTCAAAAATAAAACAAGTGTAGAATCTTACGCAGAAAATAAGCAATACAAGTTATTATAGTTAATAAAATTATTTCCATCTAAAATTATGTAATTTATTCTCAGGTGAATAAATTAATAAGGGTCACCCTATTCAGTTTTATTACAATATTTCCAATGTTCCACGAACCTGAAGCATACAAGCTCTTTCTCATTATTTGCACGGTCTGTGCTCCCATCAAACAGAACCGAGAAATAGAAGGGATCTGCCTTTTTAATTACGTCTGTCACACATAATATCATTGATTCCCCAATTTCTTTCACAAGATTTGAACATGCCACGGGATATGATTTATTTTCTCCAAGATCTACCCTGTTTGTTTTTTTTCAAGGTTTAAAAATTCAGTGTAGCTTGTAAATGGTAATTCTTCGTAAGCAACAAAACAGGCTATTTCAAATAATTTAACCACTCTTTTACTAGACTCCTTTTTTATGGTTTTAAAAAGTGTGTTGTTGGTGTTTCGGCTGCAATTGTCCTCAATTAACCTTCAGATTTTCCATGATATACGACATTTGTTTTTTTAATAACACTCATTTATATGAGCTATAACGTCTGCTAAATGTGCATGGCCACCATGATAACTCTTTTTCGCTCAGGGTCACGGTGGCTAAGTAGGTAAGACGCTGGCTTGCTAGCCTGGAGGTTAGGTGCTAGATCCCTGCATTGGCTGAAAGTTCATCAAGATTTATCGGTGTGGTTCCCCCTTGTCAGTGATGCAGGATGGAGGGCCTGACAAGGACAGCTGTCGAGTCGTTCAGATGGGACAAAAAACCAAAGTCCTGTGTACACATTGGCGAGCATTGACAGTTGGAATTCGATATAAGAGTAGGCTGTAGTGTCGCTGTCCGGGCAAAATTTCTCTCATAGCACACTGTATGGTGTATGCCCATCTTCATTAACCCTGTTCAGAGCAGAACAATAGGACGTTAAACTCCATTTCATTTCATTTTCACTTTTTCGCCTCTTCAGGAAATTCTTCGCAAACTTGACTGTCATATACTCCATTACTAAACCAACATATTCATAAGTAATTGTGGTCTGCGAACTTCTTGAGGTCTTTGTGTTAATTGAGTTACCCCCCCTTGATTAATAGAAGGTTTTGATCCTAGATGGAATATGTGATAGAGTGAAATGTAAGATGGCTGTATTTAATTAGCCCTTCAGATTGTCATAACCAGCCCAGGCCATCTTGTGGCATATACACCCCAATACCACATGGTGGAGATGCCAGTCCATCCCCTTCCTCCACGATATCTGTTAAAGCTATTGAAGGCGATTTCTAGGCTTACGACAGCAATTGCCCTGATGGCTGTTGTGAATTTTCAGCTCTACTGTGTGGTTATCCTCAGAACCATAAACCAAAACACTGGCTATAACTACTGGGAATATTTCTTCTTCTTCAGGAGCGAGTGGAATATCTTTCGGCAGAAGTGTCATACTGTTTTTGTCCACAGTTTTGTCCATAATGCAAAATGACTTCTGCATACATGTAGCAACATATTAAAATTCATCAACACACCTCTTTTACTCCTTCATTGTTTGGCAAAAGCAACTCAAGTGTCTACTTTTTACAGTAGATATATTTTAACGTTTTTGGTGTCGAAATGTCTCTTATAACCTCTACTTTTGATCTATGGGAACTAAATTCATGGATACCAGACAAACCATGGTTTATAGCCAAAAAATGTCCCTTACTTTTCTTTGCCTTTAGCATTGATCATGCCATATTTGATGAAAATCCATGCTGGCATAACTGAGATAATTCGACTTTTGTTGTCATCAGCACCTTTTATCCCCTTTCTTTTGGGCCAGGTTTGGAGCATAGTTGGTAAATAAAATTGGAATGTTTTTGGTGATTAATATGTAGTTTATTACCCCGAATAACAAAAAATATCATATCTTATGAAAAAAAAATTCATTGCTATATATATATAGCTTTAAGATGTGCATCTTAGAGTACTCAACACCCTTAATATCCAAAGTTTCCTACTAAACTCTGAGTAAACAGCTGATACTGATTTATCCCTTCTTTTCTCATTTGTATTTTCAGTACATTTTTTAAGGCTCTTTTCACCCTAGCTACAATTTCTGCATTTGTCTCCATCTTCATTTCAGAGTTAATCAAGAACGGTAGCCCCTATTCCTGTAACACCTTTTTTCCCCCTAGGAGTTGCATTTTGCATTGTCCTGTGAGTCCTGTCCATTGTTGCAGCAAACTTCTTGGTGTTTTTGGGGTAGATTACTTCTATAGCCTTTTTTTTCTTGTTCCTTGCGGTAACTTTTCTTTTGCTGGTTTATGAAAATTTCTTGAACCGTTATTAGTTCCAACTGTCATCTTATTCACCATGTTCAGGTTCTGTCTGACATCTCATTCTATATATCTGGTGGTCAAAACAGTTAAGTTTCCTCGGTTGCTGCATAGCTACCTATGAGTGAAGATGTTTTCTCTGGCTTGGTTCCCTTTGACATTTGTCCAAGTACAGGTCAATTCATAGCAGGGTTATGTTTCTGTAGAAAATAACATGACATACATCTTTCGTACATGCAATGTATACCGTCATGGCCAGGCCTTTGGGATTCTAAAGTGTAGCCACTGACACAATTTCTATGAGTTTCTCAAATGATATATTGATAAACAGCCCCGAATGATTTGTTTAGAAAAAATTTAAAGACAAAAGCCAAGCTTATTGCTATATGTTGTTTTCTATTCGTTATAATAAAGTTTACAATACCCATCTTTATACCACCACTTTGATAACTGCAATTGAAATCTATAAAAACAACTGTTCTGGCAACGGATGCATACTATCATAATTTATCATAAATTATAGTCATACTATTTTCATGCATTACAATATAATATTTTAGCTTTGAATACCGACTGAAGGTAAGACACTTGGTTAAGTGGAAAAATTAAGTATTTTTACTTAATTTTAAGAAAACCTTTGAGTACAAACCCTGATATTGACATGTAATTGCATTGCAGAATAATGAACAGAATAATCGTCAAAAATCAAAATGGATTACAGATTTTTGCATTATGCCACATTTTAATAAGATTATTGTGGGAACTGGGTATGTTTGTTTTTATTACACAACCGTTTTGTCTACATTGATTTACATAATTCATGACGTAGGCTAATAGATAACTTTTGTTTCATTAAGACCTGAAAATACAGTTTTCGTAATGTTGTTGTTACTATTGTCGATAGCGTATAAAAGCTCCACTGCCTGTTGTTGGTCTATCAAAGTCTTCTCAAGCAACCTGACAAGGATTTACTAAGACCAAATGGTCAAAAAAATCCTTTGATGTCGCACCCTGGAATATCGATATGATAGATCTAAACCCATATTTAAAATGAAGTTTTTATTTACCTATAAACACCGGAGTGTGGTGCTCTCTCTGGCATATGCAGGTCTGACCGAATTATGGTACATTAATATAGCCTGTGCCAATTCCAAATCAAAATGGAGACCCGACGATAAACATAATAGAATCCATTTTGAATTGGAACTGGGTGTATATAGTCGTCACGTCCGACCGTCCGACCTTTAGCAATTGGCAGGATAGACGTCGCGATTGAGGCTACAGACCTTTTTCAAATTTGTTGTTCAGCATTGGGGTCATGAGAAGACTAACGCTATTGATAATCAGCGTAGTGTGACCTTCCGTTTCGGATTCACCAGATAAAGGCTGTAGTGTTAAACAGACCTTTTTGAAATTAGATGGGAAACACTGGGGTCATGAGAGGATGAACCAAATCTATAATCAGCATTCTGGTTTATCCTCTTATGACCCTAATGCTTCCTGCCAAATTTGAAAAGAATCAGCCTGGGTGAGAGTGTAATACATCCACACTGATGCTCCAAAGGCTTAAGTTATTTTCCAAACAAACTATTGCCCTTGATCTTTTTATTTATTTTAGCTCTTGGAACCTAATTGTTTTTTTTTCGTAATTCTTCATGGGTTGATGCCCTTGATCAGGTTTTAGTGTCTTGTAAATGGTCAGATTACCTACTAAAGAATAAAAATGTGACACTCTTTGTGGACTGATGTGGTATGTTTCGATGCCTGGCAACCTATCTTTTATATATACATTATATTTACAAACTGACTTGATAATTATTTATTTCCCATGTCTATTTTTCAGAGATAGAGAGATTCAATTCTTTGAATTGTCATCATTTGAGCCATATTGTCAAATCAGCGGTTTAGAAACAGTACCTTTAAATTTAGATTACAGGTAAAGTTTTCTTTTATATAATACATTTTACTATATATCTAGTCAAAGAATATATTATGTTTAAAATCACTGTTAGAACGTACAGGTACATATTCAGTCAATGCTGACGCAAGATGCTCTGGGCCGCCCTACACGTTCCAGTCACACGATGGTGGTCCGCAATCAATGATCGATCACATTATACTCCCTAGAGACAACGAATTTACTATTCATTACTCCTTTGTACACGATGAACAGCTGTTCAATGTCTCTGACCATCTACCTATAATCTGTTCCGTAGGTGTTAACACCCCATGTCCGAAAAGGACTTCAAACTTCTCGTACTCATGGGAGAAATGTAAAAAAAAGGGTTCAATATATGATTACACCTACGCCGTTAGTACTGCTCTTTGGACACTTAACTCCAATAACTTATCGACCCAACAGGAGATCGAATATTGTTACAGTTCTATAATTTCGGCATTGATCAGCGCCTCGAACGACTTTGTACCAATCAAAAGTTACAAACCATTCATTAAGCCTTACTGGAATGATACTACGAAGTCATTGCATACCTCTATGCAACATTTTAGATCAAAATGGATCACAGATGGACGTCCTCGGGAGAGAACCAACCCGTCCTTCAATGCATATAAACAATCAAAATGTGACTTCCGCAGGGAATTAAGAGTAGCATCCGCACAATATGTGTCTGAACAATATTTCAAACTAAATCAGAGCTATGATATTGATCAAAAGTTCTTTTGGTCGATGGTGCTGCGATCTAGGAAACAAACTTCTACTAAGTGTAACTACCTGTCGGTTGATGGAACCACACTTCGGGACACTCCGGCAATTTTAGAAGGCTGGGCCTCCCATTTCGAGTCTGTGTTTAAGAATAATAATGATGATAGATACAACAATGAGTTTTTTGAATCCGTGTCTTCTAAGATTGCCCAATTAAGGTCATCCTATAGTCTTGCCGTTCGTAATTGGGGACAGTTTGCGTGCACTCCGCACGAAGTTGCACTAATCTGTCGAAACCTTAAGCTCAATAAAGCTGCCGATATAAACGGTGTTGTGTACGAACACTTAATTCATGGTGGTCGTAATTTATATGAACACTTATCCAATCTATTTAACAATATTCTGCGATTTAATATCATCCCATCACAATGGCGTCATAGTGTGATAATACCAATCTTTAAAGGAGGTAACAAGCCAAAATCCGACGCCAACTCGTACAGAGGTATCTCACTAACACCAACCATTTGTAAGGTCTTTGAGAAGCTTCTGGAACCGCGAATATTTAACAGAACAAAATTACCAGATTTTCCAAATAGTCAACAAGTGGCTTACCAAAAAGGATTGTCATCCATCCATGCATCCTTTAACCTACAGGAAACTATCTACCATCACCTGGAAAGGTCAAACAAGTTACACGTCGCCTTCTTGGACAGTACCAAAGCGTTCGATTCAGTCTGGCACAATGGGTTGCTCCTAAAGCTTCATGAGATCGACTTAGATGCGTCACTTTGGTCCGTGGTTGATAACATGTATACAAACATGACAAGTTGTGTTCGACACAATGGCGATTACTCAAGGAATTTTGTTCTTCAAAGGGGAGTACGGCAAGGAGGGGTGCTATCTGCAAAGTTGTATCTTTTATATATCAACAGTCTACTGAATTATATCTCTGAGTCGAGATATGGTGCCCGTGTGCTGGATGTTTTGATGTGTTGTCCAACGCAGGCTGATGATATTGCTGTTGCTAGTCCAACTTCGAACGGTTTACAAAGCCTCCTCAATATCTGTGAAAGATACAGTTCTTACTGGCGATTTCAATTCTCTTCCACTAAGAGTGTAGTGATAGAGTTCGCACCAAATCAATCTCGCCAGAATAGCCTAAAACAATGTTCTGCTCCTACGGTTAAACTATGTGGAGAGCCACTTCCGAACGTACATTCTATCAAGCACGTAGGGGTATTATTGGATGGGAATTTGAATTCGAAGGAACGTACTCTTTCGGCTTGCCGATCAATAAGGTCTAGTTCAAGTGCTCTCTCCAAAAAAGGGTTGTGTTTAGGTGGCCTGGCTCCGACTGTGTGTTTCAAACTCATAAAACAGTGTGTCTTCAGCAAATCACTATACGGTTGTCAAATTTGGAATAATCTATTCAAAACTGGATGTTCAATGCTTGAAAGAGCACAGAGACACGTTGTCAAGCTAATACTGGGATTGAACATTAGAACTAGATCTGACATTTGCCAAGGACTTATAGGATGGTTTTCGCTAGAATCTTATATCTCAACACAGAAACTTTTCTTTCTAGGGCAACTATTAAATCTAAGGTCACATTGTTTACCCCATCAGATCTGCGTGAATCGTTTGTTAGAATACAGATACAGTTGTTGTGAACAGCCACGTGGCTTTATTGCTGATGTTTGTAAAATTCTGAAACGTTACAATCTTTCGCATTATATCGAGGACTTCATCTTATCTAGAACCTTCCCAAGTAAAGTACGTTGGAAAAAATTAGTAAAAGATTCCGTAAAACTGATTGAAACAAGTAAATGGTTAGAACGAATTAAACGGGATGAAGACATGCAATTATTTAGTGAAATCCATCAGACCTTAGAACCCCACCCTATCTTCTCCTTGTGGTCTAGTGATCCGTCGCTTAGCAAAGCCTGCAGGGTATTCATGAAGGTATGTGCATACGCTAGGATCAATGATCCAACATCTTTAGACAGATTACTGTGTGAATATTGTGGCTTATTCCTTACATGCAACCTGAGTCATGCTATTGTCGACTGTGTCCTATTTAAGCAAAAACGACTGGATGTAATGAAATTGTATTCACACGAAGAGGTAACCGACAATAATTTCCTCGTTAAAATGCTCTCTCTCCGTAACGTCGACGATCACGTGCGGAAACAAACAGTATTGTTTATATTCCTAGTCTGTAAGGGATTAGTATGAGACCACTCTATATAAATGTGATTCGTTAGACAGTGTAAATCTAGAAGCTTAACCCTTCAACATTTTTTTTTTTATTATTATTATTATTATATTTTGTGATTACTATTATTATTGTATACAATGTTTTGTAATACTCTTCATATTTGGAGGATCAATAAAGATATATATATATATATATATATATATATGTATGAGATGATAAAAATCACTCAAATTATTAGCATTTTAGGAATAGAAGTAAATGTCTTATAATAGTCTAGTTATTTGATATTCTCGTGCTTCTAGTTCTACAGGTTATGATGAAAGTTTAATATTATATGGTGACAGTCAAGGTTGTATCAATATATTAGTTATCAAATCTACTGGTGAATGTCTCAGGTATGTATTATATTAAAATATTTATGTGCCTTTATTTAGTATTTATTTATCAAACTATTGCAATATTTTCAAATTTCCACCCTCTGACATCATGTCCCCTATTTGCCACTTTTTGCCCACCCTTCACTCATCCACTGTCAACTCTGATTTTCATGTCCAGTTTCATAATTTTTATGCGTTTATCAGTCAGCAGTTTCTTGTTTTCAAATTTGGGAGAAGCTTTTATGTCCTGAGAGGACGAACCCTATCATGCATCCATACCAGAGTTATGACGCTTCCCTAAAAACCCTGTTAATGTTGTATTGACGCTACATTTTTTAAACAGATTTTATAAGCCTCCTTAGCAACATTTTTAGACAGATCTTTTTCAAATTTGGCGTGGATTCATGAGAGGATCACCAGTATGAATATTCTTTGTTCTACAACTTTCCGTTCCAGAGTCATCACCTTTTTCCGAAATTTCAGATTTGGTGTGTAGCATTGGGGTGATGAGAGGATTAACCCATCGATATTCCGCAAGTTGTCAAGCAAACTAATTTATGTAAACCATTAGCCGTGTGGCGTGAATTGGGTCACAGCGTACTGTTCAGTACATCTGGTTTTTGCATAGGGAAGGGAATGCATATCTTTCCGAGAACACATGATACCACTTCTAATTTACCTCATATTTAAGAAATTTTGTTGTACTTTTGTAACATAACATGTATATATAGAAGGACTTGAAATTTTAGAGAACCTTATGCCAGCTATATATGTGCAAACAATTTGATGTCTTTATAGTATTGTGACCTTTTCTTTTTCAGGACTTGGAAGAAAATGCCGAAACACGATGCTTTTATAGCCAGTATAAGTCTGGATAGTGTTGCTAGCAGTCCTAATGTTCGGTTTATTCGATGGCAGGTACATGGTGACTGGGTACAACAGGTAATATAATTATTTACTGAATATTTGCAGGGTGCATACCATCGAATGTAAAGTAAAAAATAATGTTTTACTGGCATGTCTCACATGAATCATATAATTATCCACTAATAATGTAGATGTAACAAAGTAATTATTTCAATTGACCATTTTGAAAACTTTAAAATTTAATATATTTTCCAAAATGTAATCATTTTGCTAACCTGAATAAAAGATTAATGGGCTCAGGTTAACTCTTTTACTGACACAACTCTAACACTAGCACTAACTTTTTGTTCGGACCTCACCTAATGTCTCAGCATGTAATCTTTACATTTAGTGAAATTAAAAGTTCTTTATTAAGGATTAAATGTCTGACAATTAAGGAGAAACCACAAATTATTTTCATGATTAAGATGTAAAGGAAATCACGTAGATTAAGTAGATAAATCTAGGCAGATTAAGTAGTTAATCAAGGTAGTTGCATAACTTAAGTACTTAATTAATTGCACCTGTAAGACATATGATTCACCGTATTTTGGTGCCTGAAAGGGAATATTCCTGGCTGGGTGTATGCCAATCCACATAGGATATTTCTGGCATACACAGCCGAAACAGAATCCCTACAAGGAACCAGATTTAGACTGCTGTAAAAGTCACCAATAAATTATGGAATGATAAACCTGACTAATTTAAGTATCATATTGTTGTATAAGAAAACAGGGATATGTACAACGAAAACTGAAACAGGTTTTTTTTTCTGCTCCTTTCGGTGTGGTCAAAAAAAAGAGGTCAACAAGGTCAAGTAAAGAAATATTGCATCAATGAAATCCTAAAGCTCGACTAGGGTTCAACCACGTCAAGTTAGGAAATGTTCCAAAAAATAGGTCAGTGGGGTCAATAAAGATGATTATCGACAAATATGAATAATGGTAATGTAAGGAATTATTGCATCGATGACATCCTGGAGGTCAAAAAAGATAAATGGTATCAATTTGTGGTAAATGGAGTCAAGTTAGGAAATGTGCAAATAATGTTTTGCTGGGATCAAAAAAAGGTCAACTAGGAAGAGTTGAGAAATGTTCCAAAGATTGGTCAAAAACGGTCACGGTGATCAAATAGATATCAGTGTAGTCAACTAAATGAATTAAGTGTGTAAGTAGTTCTGTGTTTTGGTTAGAACTGAAAGTACTTAGTCAGGGAAGAGAATGACAAATTCTGTGATTTAAACTGTGGGCGTCTGATAGCTCTGTTCACAGATCTAGTTATATTTGTTATATATTTTGTTAAGATATTTTAGTGAGTTAAACCAACCTCAAGATGTCCTGATTGTCTCCCCCTAGTTCATTTAGTGATGTTTAAAACGTGAATGACTCATTTTGTCTTGATAGATTTTTATTTGAAAAGGAAAAAATAAACCCAGAAAGAATTTAAAGTATTAGTTTTTTTTTTCAGTTGAAATATTATCATGATATAGGTCAAGTGATATCCTGTTCCAATCATGCTAACACAGCTTTAGTTATAGGTAAGATACTTAAATACACCTCAACCAGTGGCAGATCATGGCAGTGGCAGGACAGGGGCAAATGCCTCTAACACAGGCGATCTGGTGACTGTAAAAAAAATAATGAAGATACCATTTTCCAAAATTTTATACATTCAGTTTCATAATGTGGAACGTTTTGTGAAACAAAGTGTCTTTTTATACGTTCACCATGAAATGTATTTGTGAAACAAATTGTATTTTTTATAAGTTCACATTCATAATGTGGAACATATTGTGAAACAAAGTGTCTTATTTATATGTTCACATTTATAATGTGGAACAAATTGTGATACAAAGTGTCTTTTTTATACATTCACATTCATAATGTGGAATGTATTATGCTGTCACCGCTGTCTGTGTGTGTGTGTCTGTGGGTCGGATACAGGACGCAATTCTTAATGAATCGTCTTGAAAATTGGGATACTTATTCCTTATAAACTAATAGTAAATACAGGGGTCCTGCACCACACATGTATTAAATTGATGTCAGTGTCTTACAAAAAATAAATATGCGACAGACCTTGTCAATGAATTTGCATGATGTAATTGGTGAATTCACCAATCTCAAGAAATGAATTATTCAATCTTCTGGTCAAGAAACTTTATAGCTACCACAGCATTCATCTGCACAGAAACTCGGGACCTGGTGATCCCATGATCTTTACTGGCCTCAACCTACATTCATTATTTTTTAACCACATATAAATTTTGACATGTTACTATTTATACTCATTACTATTGGGTTTGACTAGTATATAACTGTGAATTCAACTCGTTTTTCCAATTAAATATTAACATGTTAGTAAGCCTGTGTCTTACTCATTGAGCCGCAGTGGCTCTTTAGTCCTTATTATATTACTGAGATATTTTATATTATTCATGTTTTATTACAGGATGCACTAGTGGCAGTACCCATGTTGAACAACAACTTAAAGAACTGAAGGATGTTAATGCACAGGAAAGAAATAAACAAAAGGGTTTTTATGCCTATAATACTACCAAAGGTCGACTAGAGGCCGATCAATCAGTATTCAAGGTGTATAAAGGTGTTAAATGTTTTGACTTCTCCAAAGAAAAGAACATCATAGTAACTGGAGGTAAAAAATTTTATGCCATCACCCTGTGAGTCCATCAAAAATGGGCTTGTGAACATGATGGATGCTACAGAGTTGAGAGGTCACAATTTTTATCCAATTTTAAAAAAACATTCAAATATATCACCTTTACATCCTAATGATGGTTGAGTTTGAATTTCGTGAAAATCCAACCAAAATTGCCTGACAAAATAACCGCTCTTTGAACGCTGATAGTGTAACAGTAAATATAAGTAATACCAAGATGGTGGACCCCTCTAGAGTTCACAATTTTTGTCCGATTTTGAAGAAACTTAATTAAAATATATGTTTATATCCCACAGATCTCTTTTCCTGTCCATATTTATGCATATCGTAGAGGAACTTCATGGATTATGGCCCCTAATTGTACGAAAAGTCACGTTTTTAGCTTGTGGACCCTCCGGAGGTCACAATTTTTATCTGATTTTATAAAAATTTAAATGTACCACCATTATACCATAAGGATGGTTGAGTTGAAAATCCAGCCGAAACTGCCCGACATGGCCGCTCCCTGTGCGCAAATAGTGTAAAAGTATGTAATACCAAGAATTTTGACCAGGGCTTCCACTTCAAAATTTTCACTGCAGAGCAAAATAAATTCATATTTCATGTTTTTTATTCATGGTAGGGTATTGTGAATTCACGTGACTATACCGCTTTGTCAGCATGGTGTACACAAAATATATATTGGACTTAAAAGTGAAATATTAGTAAGGCTTATGATAATTATTTATTAATGAAATATTCCTTATTGGCTACTAAAATAATCGAAATAGCTGAATTGGCCGTAGATAAACCATTCCAGTAGCTCGCACGTATTACCACATGCTCTATAGAAAACACACTGACATGGACATGAATTGTAATACAATAATTTCGAAATATTTCTCACATTTATTGGGTTTAGACCATCTTTTACAGCATTACGGACCTCATGCAGACATGTGACATGAATCCCAAAAATGAATAACTAAATAACTAAAGGATAACTAACTTCACTGCTGGCGACACTAGCGCCCCCTAGAATATCGCTGTGTATAATAAGAGTAACATATACACAACATTTTTGCAACACGTGGAATTATCAATATTGCTACACAATAGCACTGGAATACGTAATTTTCTTAAATTTATAAAAACAAATTTGCACAGTAATTTCTCACGTACTATGCATTTTACAGTGTGTTGATACAGCTGCTGTGTTGGCGTATCGTTTTTTACTGGAAATATTTCACTGATATCATTATTTTAGTCGAAAGATACCCAAATGGTTATTGTAAATGTTTCCTTTGAAAGCCCTTTGTCATAGAATGCATTGTATAGGACTAGCTTTTAAATATCACCAATTTTTTTGTGATCAGACACTGACAGTTTTTTCCTTTAAAATGATAATGTAATTCAATTGGAAAGGAAATTCTTGAAGATATACTCCTCCAACTTAAAAATTTCAAATATTGTCATACAAAATTATGAAAGTATAGTATTCTGGATTATTGCATTGTTTGGACTGATATTTTTAATTACTTTAAATATCTAACAAAAATACATACAAATACAAAGTTTATAAGATCATGATTTAATCATTGTATAATTAAATTTTCAGGAATGGATAGAATTATCAGAATGTGGAATCCCTATGTATTTGGGTAAATAAATAAATGGAACTTCACTGTAGTAGCTTAACACTTAAAGGGGAACTATTGTACTGGTTAAAATCACAAAACAACAAGTTAATACTTTAAAATGTTTTCTACTTTAATAATTATTGTTAATACAAACATTTAATATATTTTTTTCAATAATATTTTCTATATATATGAATATAGTATTACTGTATGGGCCCAATTATTAATTTTAAACAGTTGGACATTTTTTTCCTTGCTGACTTTTTATTTGATTAGAAAATTCTTACATCAAATGTTAATAGATTTCCAGTAAGTCTGTCATTCTTCTTGGCTTTAAGTCTTTCAAACTTTTATTTTTAGTAAACCAACTGGTATGCTAAGAGGACATAATGCTCCTATATTTTATTTATTTATTGGTGAAGAAGATAACCGTATGTATAGTATATCAACAGATAAATGTATTAAAGTAAGTTATTTACCTTTTATACTTACTATATATTATGTTTCTTTTCCCTATGAGAAGTGCAATAAAACAGACAGAACAAACAAAAGTATACCTGAGACTCAAACAATGAATCCAAAGCTGCAAAACTACAAAACCATTGTCCGCACACCTCACCCCAAATAAAATGGGTTTATAAACAGGCATTCTGCAAAATATGAATATTTGATTAATAAAAAAACCTATTTATATATAATATGAACTGTGTTAGGATTGTGGATATATTTATATGATATTAGTGTCAATAACTGGTGTTAAATATTTACAGGTGTGGGATATACAAGATCAGAATTGTTTAGTAACAATACGACCCAAAAGTCATAAGATTCGAGGAGATCTTCAAGCTATTCATTATTCACATGTATCAAAAGCCTTGTCGGTAGCAACTGATCAAATGGCTATGTTAGCTTTACGTCTTAGGTACGACTTCTTTATGTATTCACATTTCACAACTTGTAATGTGCTGAAAAAGTATATTCTATTGTGATTCTATAGCCATCTATTAAAATAACAATGCGTCATTTGCATCTTTACACGCCCACTTCTGATTGTATATTGTTGTCTCCCCCGTCCAGTGGTCTGTCTGTCCGGCGTCCACAACTCTAGAGGCTAAAGGTCTTGAGAGAACAAGTATATAGATTTTCAGTGATTTGTGATAACTTGAACAGCTAAATCAATGATGTTAAATGTTTTGTATACTAAACGTTAGCATGGGGCAAAACTAGAAGCCAAACAAATTCTAATGATTTTCTGATAATTACTTAATGAGTTGTTACTCTTAATCAGATTTTAGTGTATTATAAATGTTTCATTACCGACAGGAAAAAATATGCTTCAACTCTTGTTGACTGTCCAACCGATTTAGCAGCTGTGGGCGTATGTTTCATTGCCTGGCAACCTATCTTTCACTAAAAAATAAAACTTCACGTGACTTAATCCACGCTAATATGTACTTTAATTGATTATTTAACATTTAATTAAGAAAGCAAAATCAAAATATTAATGCTAGATAATCTCCTGACTTGGATTCAATCAGATTTAAAACAGACTTCCATAAAACAAAATGGCGGTGGGCTTATTACATAGTGAGCAGCATAGATCGATGAAATTTCCGTTATACATATCTATGTAAATACTAAACGGCACTTAACCATTTTTGGACCGATATTCCTATTAGAGATTCATCTGTCACAATATTGTAGTTTGCGTGTGATTCCTATACATATCACTAAAATGACATATCAAGAGTCTGATCGTTTAAAGAATATATCAGTGCTATTTTGTTTTGGGAAAATTATATATTTCTTAACCAAATCATAATCAATTTTAAGATGATGCTGTTATAGAAAAAGAGAATGCATACTTCACTTCCGAAACGACAGATTTCACTACTAGTAGCTTAATCAGTGTTTATATTTTATTAAAATTTGAAAGACAATCCATAAATATTTATAATTATACTGTGGCTTGAGGATGAAATATCAGAAATGTGACAATTTAGCTTAAAATGAGAAGTGGTATGCAGTGTCCTGGAAAAAATAAGTATGGTTTGTCTTATGGAGGACACCTGTCAATACTTATACTAATTAGAGAATATTTTAGACTTCCTGGAAGGTCCACCAGCAGAGTAATCAGTCAATTATTTAAAGATACATTATGGGAGATTCGATAATGAGTTGGCAGTTCTCACTATAAAAGTTAAAAACTAGATAATGTAAAGGCAATTTGCTGAAAATTTAATTCAAATTGATCCACTATGAACCGAGAACTAAGCGATTGAAATTTCCGCCTAGCCTCTATCATCATTACTAAGGTCAGTACGATAAACATCAAAGTCTCGATTATCTATTTAATCGTGAAGGAAAGTTATGCAGTAAATCGGCTCATAATCAACTAAAGATTGCAGGCTAGCGATGCCATCTAGAGTTGATTATGGTATGGATAGGTTAATTAATGTCTAATTGATAATTTAGATAACATTTCAGGCCTAAAGAAAGACCTGCAATAGACAGATTTAGCTCTTGCATAATGTATGTTTAAATATTACAACTACAATCCAAATAATGTTTAATGTAATGTGTATGTTTTTTCAGTGCTGTATTACATGCTGATATTGTTATTACACATAAAGAACCAATAACATGTTGTAAATATAATAGTAGTTTTAAACAAGTTGTCACATGTTCAGAAGGATCAGTTATAAAATTATGGGATTTGAATACTGGAACAGCTATATTTGAATATGGTGAGGCACATGGTGATAATGCTATAACATGTATGACATTTGATAATACAGGGAGAAGGTAATTTAATATGTACTTTTTTATAGCCGCCCTTTTTCTTACAAATATTTTGATTCAAAATTATGAGGTTGTACGTGGCAAGGAGTAGGGTCGTCTGTCCAACCTCGTGGGTTTTCTCCGGGTCCTCTGGTTTCCTCCCACTGCTAAAAGACCCCTATGTGCAAGCGAATTATTGAAATAAAATTAAAAACCATATGTTAGTCCCGAAATGACCTAGTTTGTGTCGAGTGGACGTTAAACCCCATTTCTCTCTTTCTCTCAAAATTATGACTACAGTGGTGGGCATTTTGCTTGAACTAGCAACTGGATTGAAATTAACTGTGATTTCTTTCGTTCAGTTTTCATTCACAATTGGGTTTCATTATTCATCAGACTAAACAAATAAATTACTCTTATTCAATTTAAACTGGACTTTAAGAAAAGTAAATTTAAAAACCCCAACAAATTCCAAAGCATTCATATTATATCACTGTTATACCATTTTTCGTGAAACTCAGGCTTAAACTTCCCGTCAAAATGGCTCCTTGTGGACCCTCGAGAGGTAACAATTTTATCTGCATGATTTTGAAGAAACTTGAAATATAGGTTTATATTGCAAAGATCTCGGCTATAGAGGTCACGATTTTTATTTTGATTTCAAAAACTGTCTGCTTAAATAACAATTTAACAATGAAAATCACATGTTTACACATTTGACTCACGAAAAATCCCATTGGTTAATCTTTGTGACCCACCCATGGTAAGTGCAAGGGTTTTTTCGATAAGTGTGATACTCAGTTTCAAATATAAGGACTTGTAAAGAAGATAATGATGACCCCATGGAAATTGCATTGGGAATTTTCAGAAGGGTGGTATTGTGTGATGCTTAATAATCTAATTTTCTATAATATAGATTAATAACAGGGGGAAGAGATGGAAGATTGAAAGTCTGGAACTATAATAATGGTCATTGTCTTAAGGTGTTCCAGAAAGGTTTGTTTTTAACATAATTTGTATTTTCATTTAAAATCAGGATGTCTTCCAATGAATTCCTTTAAAAACAGGACATTGTGTCTTTAAAATACACTTTATGATTGTTAATACTGTGACAGACACAGCACCAAGTGATTAGATAAACAGACAAAAACGAAAAAATCAGAATCAACCATTCTCGAAAATATGCATCTATCAAATGCTTTTGGACATGTGTACACTATAGTCCATGTATAGGTCAAGAAGAAAAATGCTAAAACTTATAATAATTTAGTAAAGAGAGGGATTGGTCCATTGATATAAAATTTTATTCATCCTGCATCATAAACTATTTTGTAACATAGACCTACAGGAAATCTTCCTTTGTTCTTTTCGTTGAATAAGCATATTATTGTTTTCGCTCTGACAGGCTGGGTGGAGCTTAACTAGACATTTTCAATGTTATTGCACACCTTTGCTGGTTTACGCTAGTTTCAGTAGAAATTATATAGAGAAGTGGGGTGGGTTTTCTGTGCAATAACAACAAACATGTTGAGCAGGTGTCAATGTTACAAGTCATTTATAGCACGCTTCCTTCATTAACATGTTTAACACCTCGGCCTATGGTCTCTGTGATTAAACCTGTTAACTCATGAAAGCTGTGCTATAAATATAACTTATTTACAATAAATGTCACCTGTCTAGTTTAAACTTGAACATGCAAAATCACTTCTTACTTCTTCCCATTTACTAACATACTTTAGTTCTTAGTTATAAATTGTTTTAAACAAGTGAGTTTTAAAATTTTTCTTGAATGATGATAATGAGGTGCAGTGACATAGTCTATTTAGGTAACAAGTTCCTCCTTCTAGCAGTAGCTACTTCAAACAAACAATAACCAAAAGTTGTCATTCTGTAACTTGGTATGATCATCAGTTGATTGAGAGATTTCAATCGCAGACTTTTTAATGGAATATAAGATTGAACAAGTTCAAAAAGATATTGTAGGAGCGGTGCCATTTACACATTTAAAAGTTAGAGTAAGGAGTTTAAAATCTATTTGGGCAGAAACAGGGAGCCAATGGAGATCATTTAGAATGGTGTGAGGTGGCTGGATCTAGGTGATTTGGTCACCATCCTGGCAGTAGAGTTCTGTAGGCATTGTAGGCACTGAAGTTGGCACTATGGAAGATCTACAAGACTTTTGTTGCAATATAAGCAGTCTGATCCTTTTCTAGATGGTATAATTGCATTTCTTGGTCCTGAAAATGTAGGTTTAGACACAAAGATTGCAATCCTAAGTGGTTTAGAAGCTGACTTCTTGAAGATAGAAGATGGCTGCCATAATATATTTGGAGGAAATGGTGCATTTTCTAGATGGTATAATTGTAATCCTTGAAAATGAAAATGGTGGGTAGCATTTTTTGAAATTTTGGCACTTTTGTCAGGAACCATCCATCTCTAAGCTGCAGCTACCTGACTAATAGACGTTACCTTCTAGTAATTCTCTATTTATTTCAGAAAGTGGTAATGAAGAGATCTGTGATGTAACATATATAGAGATTAATAGAAATCGTTATGTAATATCTGTTGGTTGGGATAAAAGAGTTAATATTTATTGTGATAGTCAGTCAGATAGTAATATACATCATGTACAACATCCATTACCATACTGGTCTGATGATGTGGTAAGATTTATTATAATCTTATAGATAGGGATGCTATTACCCATATGTTTACTCTTTTTTGGATTACCTGGTACTGCTTTGCCAATGGGAGGTCATCACTGATACATATTCATGTTCAGTACTATTACACTGACACTGCTAAATTGATCCCCCCTGCAGAAATTGTTTGATTTCAATCCTCTAACCTGACCAACGGTCACTATTTTAGTTATAAATTTATCGAAACATCACCCATTTAACGGTCATTGTTGATACCATCCCTACATAGCACCTCTGCTAATCCTGTGATTAATAGTTAATTCTCTGGTCCCCCACGGATGAGGTAAAAAGAACTGTGAAAACAACAATTAACTAAATTGACAAAACCTGATCATTATTTACACATGTATCGTCAAAGCTGAGTTTTGTCACAATCATCTAGTATCTATTTTCTATTGCCGCCATGCTGCTAAAACATAAGTTTTAGTGCCACCTAAGGACTAGTAATTCTGTCCCCATTGACATCATTGTTAAATCCATGACATGCTAAAAGTGTTTGTTAATACCATCACTGAAAACACTTACATTTTATCAAGAGGTCATATGACAAATCCATTGAATGGCTGCTGAATACAGATTGTACTGTTATATATTTTATTTATGTGTCATGATCTATAAAAAAAAGTTTTAAAATATATACACAGAGAAAAAGGTATCATAACTCCTCTATTTGATCAGATATATTAGCCCCGATGAAACACTGAACCAGTAAAGAAAGACAAAAACTAAAGTCTAAATAGAGATTTAATGTGATTCTGTTGAATTCAGAGGCAGAAAATTGGTGAAACAGTCCAAACAATTATGGCTGGTACAAGTCAATTGGAAATCCTACAGTTCAGCCCATTTCATGTTCATGTTGTGCATAGAGTCATCAAGACGGCCGAGGCAGTGTAGCAATGCCCTCCTCATGCAGAAAATCAATGGTGTGGTCTAGCTCTGTTGTCCATAAAGACTGGCCCCGTAAAATATGTCTACATAACATCCTGTTATTAATTATTATCGCTTGTTACTTCTGTCTGCAGTTATATAGTAGGATAAATCTTGTTTTCCTTTTTTGCATCACTTTCGTTTCTTCAAATCTTCATTGAGCATCTACCATAGCAATGATCTTTGTGTTAAAATTATATTTGAAATGTGTTTAACCAGTTCTATCACATATGTAATAATGGCAGTCTCCAATAGTGTCCTTTATAGAGCGACAGGCTCTAGTTAAACCCTGCATCGCTTTTCTAGTTTCTATTTAATGTCAATAAAATGTAGGTTTTATTTTTTTTTTTTTTAGAAAAATGGACACAAGGAAGATATACTGTCTGTTGCACAGTGTACACCTAATTTATTAGCTACAGCTGGTTATGATGGTGAAGTTATTGTATGGAATATGGTATCTGGTCATATATTCTGTCATTTAATACCACCACCACCTAAACATTATACAGATCAATCCTGTAAATATATCTATTACTTTAAACATGTAAAATGGCAATAGTTTATTTTTTTCATTATTTGCGTTAAATTAAAATAAAGGCTGAATAGTTGTACTTAGATGGCAATTGTGAAGACAAAGATAACTTTAACTCCACCATATCAACCAGTTATTCTAGAATGGAATCACATAACATCAACCTGATTAGTATTCTGGGCCCTGTTTCACGAAATTTTAACTAAAGATAAAATCCAAATTTTAGTAGATACTTCAATTTTGATTGGCTAAGCACTAAAATCAATCTAATATTATCCAATCAAATTACTAAAATTTGGATTTTATCTTAGTTAAAATTTCGTGAAACAGGGCCCTAGAGATACAATTAAAACACAGCACTTTGTTAAATGTAAATAATCATTGAATAATCCCATGATGGAATGCCCAATAAACAGTCATTGATAATATATTTTTCCACACGATCTCTGGTGCCGAATTACACAACATACATAGGTCGTTACCTTTCAGTATCATACATACAGCTGTTAGCTGCATTTGGAATTAGGTCAATAAGCCTACGATTGTTGTTAAATACTGTGTTGCTGTAAGCTACAGCATTATCTGATTTTTGGTGCCTTAGTAGAAAAATCATTATTTCGAGGGCTGAGTTTAATATTCTCAGACTGAACTTCCAAATTAGGACATATCTCACAAAAAAAAACAAATGACAACTTTAACACCGACATTAAAAGCTTTTTATGATGGACGTTATTAGCTGCAACAGTTCCTAGAACTAGTGTTTTCGAACACAAGGCTGCCGTAATAACGTTACTGGTTTTTCGCTGTTCATGCAGATATTTGGAATTCAAAATACATTAAAATATTCTTGAAAATACTGAATTAAGGTCCTTGAAAGTCTTGATTTATGACCTTGCATTACCCATGGGGAACTGTGTTTTAAAATGTAAGGTCAGTACAACTCCTATTCTGAATAGCGAGAATGGTTTCAACTCACTACCATACTGTTTGATTGCCAGATACACACATTACTGACTTTTGCTATTTACCCCTTGCACATATGTTATTCACTGTAAAGTTGTTATGGCCTTCGTTATTTGTTGATGTATTTCTTGTGTTTTTAAATGTACTGTCTTCAATTTCAGCTGCATTACGTACGCCTCACCAGCACTTCCAGTGGTGCATTTTTATTGTATCTTATTAGTATATAAATTATGCATTAATATTACATCAATATGATTAATTTAAATTATTAATATTTAGTTTGTAATTATTTCAGTGGATGGAGATCTAAATATAAATACAATAGTATTTTTACCAACCAGAGCATATGAAAAAGAATCTGCCACTTTAGTTGCAAGTGGTCCTCGGGCCAACATCCATTTCTGGAATGTTTTCCAAGGTGGAAAATTAATGGCCCAATTCTCAGGGGTATGATTAAAATTGTATTATTAAAATGTTTATATGTGACTCCATTACTGTATATTTGATTGTTTGGTAATTCATTTTTATGCATGTCCCAGGAGTAAAAATAACCACAGTGGTAACCCACACTACAGCTACATGCAATGCATGTTGGGAACTGTCTGTAATAAACACACACTGACAAGTTGCTCAATGTTACAAGGTCTATGACAAGATCGTTTTGGCTGATTTTGTAGTAGTATGAGTTGACAATAAAAGCTCATGATGAAATTCCATCTCAATATTATAACTTTGCCCAGTTCTTTAAGGCCTGCGACAGTTTAGTGGGGAGTACTACAGGGACAAACACAGACAGCGACAACTGTTGATAACTTTAATTGACGTGCCACCATTACAATAACATAATAGATAACCCGGATGTCTCGTATCACGAGAACTAACAATGAACGAAGGGACCTGTAACCTACAGGGACTTGTAACATATATAATTAACTATAATGGCGCGACCCTTTTTTTCCTTTTCTTGTAGAACAATTTATGGAATTAAAAATAACTTTTAGACATGAAAACACTTAAAAGTCTTAATAAAGAACATAGTCTATTAGTTTTTTAGGCAACTGGCGTGTACGATTTCGTGGTAATCCTGGTATGTTAGAAGAAACACTTGTTGCTGTATTTGACAGGGTCTGGATGTTCAGGGTATCATCGATAAGATCAGATTCTGACGAACTGCTTGATGCTTCTGCCTCGCCACGGTCGGGTAGTTGAGCTGATGCAGTCGGGTCGAGTGGTGTGGTCAATACAGAAGGAATGATGACCGTATCATCTTCGCTATCATCTGAAGCAACGGAGCAAGCTGTGGGGGAAATATTTACCTTGTAAACCTCTGTAGGATGGACGGAGTATGTCTTCGAGCGGATTTGAGAGTTCCTCAGCTTATGAAGTTGTAGAAAGCCGTTCTGAACACCCGAGACAATATATTTGTCACGTGCCCTGTTTTTATCACGATCACAAAATAAATAAACTAAATCCCCAATACGGACGTTCTGTGGAGGACCAGACTTGCCAAGAGGGTTTTTTGACCGTTCACTGTAAGGATGATTTTGGTGACGTCGCACTTGTTGAGCATGTATGAGATTACTGTCATCGATGAGTAACTGCTCATTGGTGATTTGATCCCGCTTGCACCACATTTCCCTAGCCGACAAACCACTGGCCCGAAGACGAGAATTAACGCGCGCAATGACACAGCTTAATAAAACTGGGGTGATGGGGGATCCTGAAGGGTCCTGTCGGAGGATCTCATCCTCGATTTCTTGGATGGCGTGTTCAGCTACAGGGTTTTTATTTATGTTCTTTGTTCGGCCAAGTTCGACATAAACACCATGTTGGTTCAGTAAGCGGTCATTAACTATAGCTTGAAAACAGGGGCCTGGGTCACAGCGTATAATACTACAGCCTTCAACTGGTACCATCTCAATGCACAATTGGAGAAGGGCGTCCCGGATAGTTTGGTGCTTTTCATCCGGAACTAGGGTCGCAGAAGTTTTGGAGGTAACACATTCACGGAGTACGAGAATTTTCTGTTTGGCGCGACATAAAACATCTGCGGCGAAATAGGTTCCAACAGCTTTAGGTGGGGGTTCGCTAGTTTGTGGAATAATAGAAGATGGTATTTTGCGAAGAGCTGCACATTGTTGACAGTTTCTAGATACAGCGTCCACGGCTTGATCTAAATCCAATGCGTAGAAATATCTACGAACGATAAGACGTGTTTGGTAGCTTGAGGGGTGATCCAAACGAATGTGTAACGCAGTGAGTAGACCTAGTATCAGGTCCCTTGGGATGACGATTAAGTCTCGAGTCACAGCTAAAGGGTCAGACTTTTGAACGACTAGGGTTCCGTCTAATGCGATGGAGACGGTATTGAGGTACCGTTTGACGTCATGAATATTGGTAGATTTCTTTGATGGTCGAGTGCCCTGTGCAAGGTGGGCATGCACTCGACGCAGGTCCTTACAATCTTGCTGAGCCTGGCGCCACATGGAGCGATTAACAAATGGCAGCCTGACCGATCCATTCATAATATCTTTCACAGACACGGCACGAACAACAGAGTCCATGGTAACCGATATGAATGAGCACACTTGACAACTCATATCTTCACAATCTGGAGCATTTCGACTTCCAAAATCTGACGGAATGTTGACCTTGCCGGCTAGGTGGCGAATGAAAACTTGATATCGACTGGCAATGGATAGAAATGTGGTCACTCTTGGACTAGTAGAGTATTCACCCCTTTGTAACTTGGAATAAGCCTCAACACAAGGCTTACTGTCGGTAAGAATTTGAGCTACGTGACCAGACTGAATGATATAAGGAGCAAAGTGTTTGATGGATGCCGCAATAGATAAAGCTTCGATCTCACAGGGACTCCATCCATGTTTTCGTTCAGGGAGCTTCGCGCTGTAGAAACCAGCTAATTGTAGTTTGTCGTTTCTAATAAGGTATAATGTGGAGGCCAATCCAAAGCTTCTGACTGCCCCATCTGTGACTATCCATAACTGATCGTTGGGTCTTGGTAAAGTGATAGACTTCGCATCTTTTAAATATGCCTGTGCCAGGTGGAATGAAGCAGTCGTGTCATCCGTCCAGACGATTATATCTTTAGACTGAGCTCCTCCTCCCACTAGGCTATCGAGTGGACTCAAATATTTAGCACACTGCGGAAGTACACGTGAGAGGAACTTGTATGCACCTATAAAGGCTCGCAAGTCTTTAATAGTCTTAGGGATTGCACACGTCGATAGGGTGGCGATTCTGTGAGGGTTTGCAGTTAAAGATCCCTGACACCAGGTCCATCCAAGAATGGTAGTTTTTCTCGGTGCGATGATTGTTTTAGAGGCCTTTAAGTTGAGAGAGGCTGTGTGTAAGGCATTGAGAACAGCCTGCCAGTTCTTTAGGAGTTCTTCAGGAGTATTCCCCCCACAGTACAAATCATCGGCAATTTTGGCGACAAATCCCTGTTGTATCAAATCTCCCAGCACACGGCACATTAACTCTTCTAACGCTGTCTCTGAGCCCGGCATACCCATGGCACACCTAGTATATACCCGGATACCCTTAAATGGGGTAGCGACGCCGCAAAACTTCATAGAATCCGCGGATAAGGGAATTTGGTAAAAGGCATTTGACAAGTCTGTAGCAATTATGTAAGTCCAACTGGCAATTGACCGTAAGGTTGAATCGATATCTGGCATCAGGGATGGTTGTGGTTTAGCATACTTGCCGACTTCGCCAAACGCAGTCACCAGTCTGTATGTACCATTGGGCTTTTTGATCAAAAATGACGGATTTAAGTATTCGACTACCATATCCAGGTCCTCGGGTTTCCGGAAGACTCCGATGCTCTCAAGCTCATCAAATTTGGATTGTAGTTCATCTAGCTTATCTTTAGCATACTGGGGGACACGCCCTTTTCGTTGGGGTGGAAGGACTGGACCCATATTGACTTTTGCGGTGAAGTGACCAAATGCACCGTTATAGCCCTTGGGTGTTGTGCTGAAAACAGAGTCGTATTGTCGTAGTAGGGTGCGAAACTGCTTGTGAACAAGAGGTGACAGTATTTCATCCGGATCAAGCGTAACAGCAGATGAGGGCGGATTGGGCATGGATGTGGTCAGTGTGTGTATGTCATTGGCTGAATTCGGTGATACCAGGGGGTTATACACAGGTAGCACCTGAGAAAAGTGGCTGTTTCTGCGAACGATGATTGGTAAATCAGTAGAGTTAGGTATACGTAACTTTCCGCCTATCGGTCGTAAGACGGACGGAGCAGGCCATAATGCTTCGGTCTGATGGGGAGAGAGATCTAGCCGGGGTTCTACGGCCACTGTGTCGATGTTGTCGAGTTCAGCTGGGACATCTACTTCTATGAATTTACCAGGCCAAATAGTGGTAGCAGTATTCGATCTTAAAACAGAAGCTTGAGTGCGTCGTACCGATGGACTTGACTTTGGAGAAGAGGAACCGTATGGATAAATATGGCCACCAATAAGTACGTGTTGCTTGGAAGGTCGCACGGCTACATCGTTGACAGACATGAAAGGGGTTCCTCCAAGTAGTTCCACATCCATAGAGGACACGACTAATGCGGTGAATGATAAGATATGATCGTCTCTTGTCAACTCAAAGCGAGTTTCTCCGACAACGTTTAACAATGTTCGGCCATCAGCCTGAGTAGCGTATTGTGTACTTTTAGTAACAGGAATGCCCAACTGGAGAGCGAGAGGATGACTTATCATATTCGTTTCGGAACCAGAGTCGACGGTTATGCGGATGGCATGGTGGTCGTAGAATGCATCAAGATAGGGAGACTGATCGACTTGGACTCTTCGTGATGAAACCGACAAAGTTGGCGTATCAGCATTATTGGCATCTGAAATGATATCAGTGTTCTCATCATCGTCAGAATCGACGATAACCTGCCTGGCTCGTGACATAAACTTTCTGTCGCTCTCGGGCAAATATGGACATAGACTGAGGTAATGGTCAGTGGAACCTCGGTTGGATTGTAAGCATAGAGGACACATTGCAGGCGATCTTTTTGTAACACGTTGTGGCTTTAAGGTTTGTGGCCTGGGCCTTGGCGGGGGGTTATGCAGTCTGGAGTCTGGGCGAAACGGTGGTCGGGAACCCATACGCATGCAACGAACCTCTTCAGCAGTTTCCACCTCTTCTAAAAGGGATGACAAGGCCATTGATATCTCTGGTTTAAGTGACGCGATAGTACATGTACGTAATTGGATTCCATACCGTTGCTTAACGAGCTTGGGCAAACCGGGGTGGATTAAACGAAGCCATAATACTGTTATCAGATTTTCTAAGGATGGAGACATTTCCTCCTCGGTAACTTGAGTTCCATAGTGTGTAAGACCGCATCCGACAGTTAATAGATTGTCATCAACGAAGGCGATCAGCCTCTGAAATAAGTCTTCTGGTTTTTCATCCATTTCTAGTTTCATATCACAGATGTCAAGGAACTGTGCCCCACTATTCTGAAATCCATAGTGAGCACGGATTGATTGCCAAACAGAGCTTATACTCACAGACTTGTGAATAATGGTGTTGCGGGCTATCACCGGGCAAAAATTGGCGATTTGACCCAACATGAGCTCTAAAAAAACCACCTTTTGTGCTGCAGTCTTCCCACGTTCGTCGGTAAAGCCTCGATTTGGGTTATCCCTGCTTTTCTTAGACCATACAATATCGGGAGCGAAGAATGGGGCGAAGTTGTCATCTAGAGATAAAATGTATGTAAGGTTCTGTTTCCAGGCCTCGAACGAGGTGATAGTTTCATCTTTTGTCAAAACACGCTGCTTTGGGGCGCGAGTTGAAGCCATTGATTGATAAATTGATGGGGGTTCGTCTTAAAAATAAAAATTATATGGCGCGCTTCTACGCGAGCCAACAGAAATCTATTTACAGTACACTGTAACCTGCCTGTTGAATGATATTTCTTGTTTGCCGAGTCCTGCAGTTCACGGAGACGTAAGGAATAAATCCACAATCAGCCACCACGACAGTTTAGTGGGGAGTACTACAGGGACAAACACAGACAGCGACAACTGTTGATAACTTTAATTGACGTGCCACCATTACAATAACATAATAGATAACCCGGATGTCTCGTATCACGAGAACTAACAATGAACGAAGGGACCTGTAACCTACAGGGACTTGTAACATATATAATTAACTATAATGGCGCTGATTTGGCCTTCACTAATCACCCCCATAAACAGTTATATCCCCTGAAAATTGCTCCGCAATTCAGCAAAATATTTTTATATACCCACATTTTCATGCCAACATATTGTATCATCACCCCTGTTCATCGTCAGGTCACAATTTTTATCCGATATTAGCATGTATCAGAGCGTAACTTCATGAATTATGGCCACCCGGTTATACAAAAAATCAAGTTTTTTTAGTTGGTGGAACCTCTAGAGGTCACAATTTTTATTCAATTTTAAGTACTATTAAAATATATATATGTTACACCGTAATTATGATTCAGTTCGAATACTCATAAAAATTGGATCGAAACTTCCCATCACAATGACCACTTCTCTTTACGCAAAGAGTGTAAAACCATGTATTACCAATGTTATCGAACCCCTAAAAGTACCAATTATTATCTGATTTTGATAAAACTTAAAGTATATGATTATATCTCAGTGATCCTTGTCGTAACTTACGTGTCCATGGTTTAAGCAAATTTTTTTTTTATTTAGCTGTTGTGACATCCAGGAGAAAATTCGAGGCGAGTAAGATCGAGACTAGATACTAAAACAGCGACACAGTCAAAATAGATTTTTAGTACAATTCTATGATTGAAAGAGGTGTTGATGAACTTAACGATTAGTTCAGAATTCACGGATTTATAGTATCTTCGTCACAAAAATTTCATTTGTGAGAATTTTGTCCTGGATATCACATTTCATCACCATCGGAAATAATTATCATCATTGGCGTCACTGGGTTTTTTTCTTACTATGTTACTACTATTACTACATGCACAGGACTGTGTAGCGGACGTTTACAGTTGGCACCATGTTTCGTTAACTTTATTTGTGAACCACTTGAATGACTTAGCTGTTCCCCCATCCATATATCTTTTACATTTATTGTTCATTGTTTATTAATTGTATGATATTATTTCAGTCTAAATTAAATGGTGCCATGGTGAGTACTATGATAGTCAATCAAAGTAATAGTAAGTTATATAGTGGAGATAGTCTAGGTTTTATCTACGTCTGGAATATCAAGAATTACTGTTTAATTGGTCTAGAATCACAACCACCAGAATGTAAGTTTACACACATTACAAAAACGCAAATATTGTTATTATTTTTATGTAGGTGTCAATACAAAGATGATTAATCTTATTTTTATGTAGGTGTTATTACAAAAATGATTTTTTTTATTCTATACGCCAACATTGAAATGTGGTCATATATTGTCTTCACCCCCATCCATCTGGCTTCCACAATTGCTTGTGGACGCTCTAGAAGCTGAAGTTATCACCCAATTCACCTTAAATTGTTTTACACGATAGCGCGTGCGATCTGAGTCGAGCACTATTATTTAACAGATGATGACACTAGCTCTGTATCATTACTATCAAGGAGCGTCGGTTACTGCCCTAAAAAAATATGTTTAGTAGACCCATCCATGAGCCACTGTTTGACCAATTATAATATTATTATTATTATAGTGTTATATTCGTGGAGAGGTCATGTAGAAGGAGTTAATGGTATAGATTTAGTAGAAGAACAGAATGTATTATTAACTGCATCAAGTGATTGTACAGTTAGATTGTGGACACTTGAAGGACATTATATAGGTATATATACTTCCACCCCCAACACTTACATTTGATATTACTTAAAGATACATTATGGGAGATTAGATAACGAGTTGGCAGTTCTCACTATAATAGTTAAAAACTGGACAATGTAAAGGCAATTTGCTGAAAATTTCAGTCAAATTGAACCACTATGAACCAAGAAATAAGCGATCAAAAGTTCTGCATAGCCTCGGTCATCATTACTAAAGTCGGTATGACAAAAATCATAGTCTCGATTATCCATTTATTCTTTAAATTGAGAAGGAAAGTTATGCAGCAAATCGGATCATAATCCAACAATTATCGCAGGATAGCGCTGACATCGAGAGTTGATTATGTTCTGGATACGTTAATTAATGTCTAATTAATAGTTTATATAGCATTTCAGGCCTAAAGAAAGACCTGCAATAGGCAGATTTAACTCTTGCATAATGTATGTTTAAAAAATGCAAAAATGTTAAAACAAAATATGTAAATCAAGCAAGTGGTCTTAATCGAATATGAAGGCTTCAAAATAGACAAAGATAAATAACGCACTTTAAAATGGGACTAACGATTAACAGTTCGGTTCATAAACCAAATCACAATTGACGGGATAGTGAATCATTCCATTACATTACCAACCCGGTATTTATTTTTTTTACAGGGACATTAGGTCAACCTGATAGCTGGGATTTGTATAATCCCTCTACATTTCAGCATCCTATGGTACCATATGATGTTCTTATAGATCCCATTAGTTTACCAGCTCATCCTATACTAACAGCGAAAGAAACAACTCATCAAATTATACATGAAGACTCAGTAGCAGATGTACAAGAAGTAAGCACATTTCAGGTTTTATATAGACGTCCACATTTTCATGTGGGTATCACAACACCGTCTTTATGGTGTAACAGTGATATATTTAATTGTTTTTAAAACTGGATAAAAATTGTGACCTTTTAGAGAGTCCACAAGTTCAAAACACGATTTTACATACAGTGAGCAACCATAATCCAGAAATTTAAATTCCAGTATGTGCCAATATCGAAAGGAGTCTAGATCTTTGGATTATAAACATATATTTTAAGTTTCTTACACACTTAATTCATTTAGCTGATCCCACTGATCTCTAGTTGTTACGATTTTAATGATACAATATTTCCTTACTTGGATCTAGATCTATTTGACCATGGTGACATTTTTTGACCTGCAACTTCAGCTATTTGACCTTTTTTGACTTCACCAAAAGGTTATTTGACCCTGGGTTGACCACACTTACCAGAAGTCAGAGATCTAAATCAACTAATTATAGTCGGCTTCCGGTGCTTGATATTTGAAAAAGCTGTTAATAAAAGAATGTAACAGGCCACCACTATGGGATAAATCAAATGGGATAATTATATCTTGTTGCGCGTGTCCAACCTTTGGGGGGGGGGGGGATAACTCAGGAACTGAAGACTTAACTATTTTGTGGGCATATTTCCATGTTTTCCATGACAGTCTTATTAATTCTTCTAAACTGAACGTTAATGCATATTTAGAAATAATACCAGTTTATATTGTTAGGATTAATGTTGCTCTCCTTTCAACTTTAAATCGTTCTATACATGTAATTCGATATGTTTTGTATAGAAATCATGGAATATTTCTCTTGCCTTCCAGGAAGTGAAAGAAACAACACCCATTATATATGGTCGTCAACAATTCTTTGTTTCCGATGAAACAATAGCAAGCCAATTGAAAGATAAAATATATAAAAAGGGAACCGGGAAACGGTAATGTGTGATCATATATGTAAACTTTCTTTATTGATTATCCTAAGATAGCCATGCAAAGCATAAAAATACGCCCAAGTAGCAGCTATGTCTCGCTAGCAGCTTAACCTAAAGGAAACCTTGTATATTGACCTAATTTGATAAGAGATGACTTCAAGCAACGTTGCCTCTGTAGTGGTCACAATGTATTCGGCAAAAGTGGGGTAAATCTGAAGGGAAAAGTCACAGAACACTGAATATTGAAAGGATTCATCCTTTTCTGGCTACAATAAATGCTTGTAGTCTGTATCATGTTCACAAGCTTTTCGGCAAAGGGCGGGATAACAGCAACTATAGCGTTCACAACATTTTATAAAAATATTATGAACTCGATAGAGGCTACAGATTTCTTTCAAATTTTGTGGACAGCATTGAGGTCATGAGAGGATGAACCATATCAATATTAAGTGTTCTGCGAGTTTCCGTTCCAGAAACTTACATGTATGTTTATAACCCAAAGATCTCGGTCCCTTTTGATATTGGCACATATGAGACTGTAACTTCCTGGATTATGACCCCTGATTGTACAAAACATCACGTTTTTAGCTTGTGGTCCCTCTAGAGGTCACAATTTTTATCCGATTTAAAAAAAAAAACGTTTAAATATATCATCGTTCCACCATAATAGTGGTTTAGTTTTAATTTCGTGAACATTGGACCGAAACTTCCGGACAAAATGGCTGCTCCTCGAACGCATATAGTGGACCCCCTAGAGGTCACAATTTTTATTTGAATTTAATACCCATTCAAATATATCATGGTTACGCCATAAGTACGGTTGAGTTCAAATTTCGGGAAACTTGGGCTGAGACTGACAAAATGGCTGCTCCCCTTTATGCAAATAGTATAATAAGCATGTAATTCCAAGGTTGTGGCCCCTCTAGTTATCCAATTTTGATGAAACTTGAAATATATGTGTAAATCGCAAAGATCTCAGTTTCTTGCAATATTGACACATGTATTGGACCATAACTTCATGGATTTTGGTCACTGACTGCAAAAAATCACATTTTTAGCTTGTGGACACTCTAATGGTCATAATTTTGATATGATTTTCATAAAACTTAAAAAATGTATGTTTATAATCAAAGATATCGGTTCCTTTCGATATTGGTGCATATTGGACCCTAACTTCTGGATTATTGCCCCTGATTGCACAAAAAATCATGTTTTTAGCTTGTGGACACTGTAGAGGTTGCACTTTTTATTCGATTTTAAAAACCCTTACACCGCGATGATGGCCGATTTAGAATTTTGTAAAAATGGACCGAAACTATCATTTTGACAGGAAGTTTTGGTCAATGATATTTTGCTATGCATCTTGTAACTTATATTGTGTTGTTGATTATACCCCCTTCAGACCGGGTTGGCATCCTTACTGCGCTGCTATGGCGACAAAAGATCGCTTTAAGTGTGCTAAAGGCGTGGTGGAAACGCCAGATATCATGCTGTGGTCTCCATGGTCGTCAAAGATCGACGAGTCACGCCAAGGTTCTGCGATCTGACCTGGAAAGCTGTGAGAACGCGACTTTTTTTCAAGTTTGTAATTTTTGGGGACATTTTCTCGCGTTGTGTTCACGTTTGCCGGCAACCTTGTACATTTTCTGGCTGACGTACGGTCGCAGCTGCACAGTAAGTTTTGGTCAATGATATTTTGCTATGCATCTTGTAACTTATATTGTGTTGTTGATTATACCCCCTTCAGACCGGGTTGGCATCCTTACTGCGCTGCTATGGCGACAAAAGATCGCTTTAAGTGTGCTAAAGGCGTGGTGGAAACGCCAGATATCATGCTGTGGTCTCCATGGTCGCCAAAGATCAACGAGTCACGCCAAGGTTCTGCGATCTGACCTGGAAAGCTGTGAGAACGCGACTTTTTTTCAAGTTTGTAATTTTTGGGGACATTTTCTCGCGTTGTGTTCACGTTTGCCGGCAACCTTGTACATTTTCTGGCTGACGTACGGTCGCAGCTGCACAGTAAGGACGCCACCCCAGTCTGACGAGGGCATTATGATAACACAGAGATTGTCAATCCCTGTGCCTTCCAAAACATGCCCAAGGGCGCGGTATGTTGATGACTAAGTCGTTCGATTTCAGATATATTTTCATTACACAGCAAAATCATGAATTTCGTGACAAGTGGTTTGGAGCTGTGGTGGCTCAGTGAGTAAGACCCTGGCTCGCTAACCTGGAGATCTCTTGTTCAATCCTGGTATTGGCAGAGAAAAATCATCGGGATTTTCGGGCGTGGTTCTTCTTTGTTAGTGGTGCAGGACAAAGGGCCTGTCAAGGGACATGTATAATTGTTTGGATGGGACGAAAAACTGAGGTAGCATGAACATTGGTGTGCACATGAAAGAACTCTCGGGCAGGTGGAATTCAATATAAGAGTAGGCTGTAGCGCGGCTGTCCGGGCAAAACCTGTCTTCATTAGCCTATAAGTAGGAGCAGAACAGTAGGACGTTAAACCCTATTTATTTCATTTCATTTATGTGTCAATCGGTACGAAACTTCCTGTTAAGGATCAAAAGTTCTTCGATGATTTTAATCCTGGTTTACCTCCAGGGGCCACAATGTCAAGGATCAATTATTAATCGCATGGCAAGTGCTTGTTATTTGAAGATATATTAGGGATCAAAAGATCTTGGTTGAGTTTGATCTTGGTGGGCATCTGCTCACTAACCAGGATGCCCTAGTGTTGGCCGAGAAAGTTTTCAGGTATGGTTTCCCTTTGTCATTGGTGCAGTAAGTAGGGCCTGACCAGCAACAGCATCTAGTCGTTTGAATAGGACAAAAACTAAGGTCACATGTACATGTTGGTTTGTATATAAAATAACCCTTGACAGTTGGAATCTGAAATAAGAGTAGGCCTAGTTCAGACTGCACGGCATATCCCTGTCTTTAACCCAAAGATAATCTGCATTCTGTGACCTTTAGTTCCAAATCTCAGTCCCTTTCATAATGGCACCTATTAAATTTCCCTGTTCCCTGTCCATTTCTTGTGAAATGTGAACGTATCTTGCATACTGACCGCTTGTTTTATTTGTATTTTGTAGGCTTTTACTCAATGACAAAGTCACATTTACTGATAATTATAGATTATTTTAAAATAACTTTGAGCCTCTTTTGATTACACAATTATGTGTTAATATATTTCAGACTACGACATGAAATAATGAAACCTGTAAAAATAGATAGAGGAGGACCAAGTGAATACCAAATGTTAAAATGTTATGATTTAAAAGATACTCCCCCAATTAACCCACCATCTTTAAAAGTGAATAAAGAGAATCCTTTTGCTTTTTACATAGACTGAGAAAATATGAATAAACCAATGGATAAATAATAAACCTGTTATTGTTATACTGTCTTTTGTTACACTATGTATATATAAATATATATAAACTAAATTAAAGAAAGACCCCAAAGTACTAATTTAACGGTTAGCGCGGTCTGTTCGTACTGAACACCTTCAGGCCATTTTTATCTGCATTTCATTAAAATATTTTATATGTATGTAAGTTCTGTGTTATCTATGATTCATCATACACTTTATTGTAAGATCATGCATTAGTTTAATTGAGCTGGGGTTTACCCAAAACATTTTTAATATTAAAGTATGTTGAAATTAGAATATGTTGAATTGTATAATCAATTGTAGCAAAAGGTCGTTAATTTTGTGTGTCTGTATTGAACATGTGGGAGCCCCCAACCTAACACAAGTAACCAAAACTTAGGCTGTATTATTCCACACATATGAATGTAACTACATCAAAGTTAATTTGAATTCCATCAATGATAAATAACGGGGAGACTTTGATGTGGAGAGTCATATATCCGTGAAGGCCGTAATTAACGTTATGACATAGTAATTGATCAGATTCTATTATTGACGAATGTCGAACACTGTCAGAATGGCCGGCACGTCGAATTACCCAACAACACCCAATAACTTGAAAGCGCTGACTTTGGAAACACAAAATAACAATTTAGTTGAAGATGCATCTGCTTTGTGCCAAAATCAGAGTTTCATGCTCACTCCCGTGAAGGGAGATAACTCGTCTATGTGACTGCCAGTTGATAAACAAAAATAAACAACTACCAAAAGACAATTGTTGCTTGAAACCTTCCTAAAATTATTATATAATACCATATATTGTTATTATTTTATATATATAAATAACCTCTTTGTTAGTTTTGTTCATTTAGTGCAATAATTACACATACTTTTTATAATTTTTTTCTAAGTTACTAGCATAACAGAACATTAGGAAGGAATCATACTTTAATTTAATTCAATTCATTTCAATATTTGTTAGGATGAAACGTTAATAACTTTGTTGTCATTTTACAATTTTATATCTATTTTCGGGTATTGGTATAACAAATAAGTTGTAATGTATTAGGAACTAATTACTATCCTACAATTTCATGTTTCATAATTCTACATTTCTGTTCTTTTTGTTCAATTTGAAAAAAAAATGTTAACTTTAAATAAATCTATTAAACGTAAAATGTGTCTATATTCAGTTTCCAAGGAGTAGAGTCAACTGCCCAACCTCATGGGTTTTCTCTGCTTAAGACCCTTACTGGCAAGCAAATTAATGATATAAAATGGTGTTGTATCTTAGTCCCAAAATTAACTAGTCTCTTTCTCCACATCCCTGCCTCTGTCCACCTGCTTAAAATGCAAACTTTAGGATTTTTGTGATGGGAGCAAATGTTTAAAACAATCATCAAATTCAAGCCCAACTAACCCTCTTCATTGATAACCACTTGTTCTGAAAACGAAGTCTTATTTTTCATCTGAGTAAACAAACTGTTATTCTAGCAAGTTTCATGTGATTTTATTGAAAAACGAATTTTTTACATTATACTGGAATCAAATTACCACTTTCTGGGCCTGATTTCGATTTCGGACTGAACATTTTCTTTTAATGAAAATTGAATATTATATGTCCACATTTTCATGTGGACGTATATTGCCGTCGCCCCTGTCCGTCCTTCCATGTGTCCATTCACAATTTAGTTTGTGGACACTCTACAGGTCACAAATTTTATCCGATTTTGATGAAACTTGAAATATAGGAGTATCTCCCAAAGATCCTGGTTCCTTTCGAACTTCATGGATTGGCCCCGGATTGTACAAAAAACAAAATTTTTAGCTTGTGGACACTAGAGGTCACATTTTTTATCCGATTTTGATGAAACTTGAAATATATATGTTTATTACTCACAGATCTCAGTTCCTTTGGATATTTGCGCAAATCAAAACTGTAAATTTCTGGATTATGGCCCCTGATTGTACGAAAAATCACGTTTATAGCTTGTGGTCCCTCTATTAGAGGTCACAATTTTTATCCGATTTAAAAACGTTTAAATATATCACCGTTTCACCATAAAAGTGGTTGAGTTTGAATTTTGTGAACATCGGACCGAAACTGCCGGACAAAATGGCTGCCCCTCGAACACATATAGTGTAAGAGTATGTTGTATCAAGGTTGTGGACCCTCTAGAGGTAACAATTTTGATGAAATTTTAAATTTGTTTATATCACAAAGATCTCGGTTCATTTCGATAAGCACACATATTGGAACATAACTTCCTGGATTATAGACCCTGATTGTTCGAAAATCACGCTTTTAGCTTGTGGACCCTCTAGAAGTCACATTTTGGATTCAATTTTAAAAAAAACGTTTAAATATATCACCGTTAGACATCAGTGAAGGTTGAGTTTGGATTTCATACTAATTCAACCGAAACTGCCAGACAAAATGGACGCTCCTTTGTTCGCAAATAGTCTTAAAGTATGTAATACCAAGGTTGTGGACCCTCTAGAACTCACAATTTTTATTCGATTTTGATAAAACTTGAAATGTATATCACAAAGTTCTTGGTTCCTCTCGATAATCAAGCATATCGGAATGTAACTGCCTGGATTATGGCCCCTGATTGTTAAAAAAAAAAAATGTTTTTAGCTTGTGGACTTTCTAGAAGTCACAACTTGTATTCAATTTAATAAACTGTTTAAATATATCACCGTTGCACCTCAGTGAAGGTTTATTTCAAATTTCATAAAAAATTGGACCAAAACTGCCGGAAAATATGGCCGCTCCTTATATGCAAATAATCTAAAAGTTTATGTAATACCAAGGTTGTGGATTATGGCCCCAAATTGTACAAAAAATCACTTTTGTTTTTAGCTTGTTCTCTATCCATCTCTTGCAAAATGTAGGCGTATCTTACCTGGCAGCCACTGGTTAAAAAAAGTATAGGGCCTAGGCCCTAACAAATAGAAAAATAAAAATGAATAAAAACAATGGAATGAAGGGGCTTTTCTATTTTTCTGGAATAAAAAAGGATATTCCAATAACTTTCACACAAATGGGGGATACACGCTGTTGCATTTCATGAAAATTATTGTGTGACTCCAATGGAGTAAATAGTAGCGGACCAAGCTGTTTAGCAGATGGGGGCGTATTTTTAATAGCACTTTAAACTGACAGCCTGGAATTTTTGCAATAGCCGGGGTGGGGGTGGATGGTCTGAATGGTTAGCGCGTATGTGTTGTATCATAAGGTCTGTCATTGAGTCAACTAGCGTGGTTTCGATTCCCCGGTTGTATGTGACAATCATGGAAGTATATAAGGATCGCCGGTCTAAACTCATGGGTTTTCTCCCAGTGTCCTACACGCAAGCGAATTATTGAAATAATATTAACCGTATGTTAGTACCAAAATGACCTAGTTTGTGTCGAGTGGACAAAGCCCATTTCTCTCTCAGGGGTCGGGGTGGATGGCTGAATGGTTAGCGCGTGCGCTTTGTATCATAAGGTCTGTCATTTAGTCAACTAGCATGGTTTCGATTTCGATTCCCTGGTTGTATGTGACAATCATGGAAGTTATAAGATCGCCTGCCCAAACTCGTTGGTTTTCTCAAGGTCTTCATCTGATTTCCTCCCACTGCTAAAGACCCCTACGCGCAAGCGAATTATTGAAATAAAATTAAATCATATGTTAGTCCCGAAATGACATATTTTGTGTCGAGTGGATGTTAAACCCCATCTCTCTCTCGGTATAAATCTTTCATTTTACAGTCAAAATGCATTTGTGGTCTGCATCCAGTTGTTCAAATTATTTCCCTTGATACTTCCAAGGTGAAGGCTGACACAGCTGTCAATCATGAATACGTAAAGCTGCTCTGGTGGCTAAAATCATCCCCTTATTTGCTGTCAACGGATAGTGTTCTCCATGATAAATCGCATGAGCGACGTTGAAGCATACAACTGTACATTGAACTTTGAAGAGTTCCTCGAATGTAAGTAGGCTAGGTGAGCAATGCTTTCAGACAGTTAGTTAGTCACTTTACACGATAAGTCAACGACGTTGAAGCATACAACTGTACATTGAAGAGTTCCTCGAATGTAAGTAGGCTAACTGAGCAATGCTTTCAGACAGTTAGTTAGTCACTTTACACGATAAGTCAACTTTGCTTTAGGCCAAAAAAAAATAAAATGAATTGTTTAATTCTCTCACACACTTCACAACAAAACCCAACAAAGTCTCAGTAGGCCTACAGTACAAAGTCTCAATAATAGAGTCAATACTGCAGTAAATCAGTATTTTTTTTTAGTCTCGTAAATCCACCTTTTTTGGATTATACCAGCTGCAAACTGGTCAGCAGTAAATATTGGGACCGAGTTAAAAGTCGGAATCCTCACTTACTTACTTACCATCACCGGAATTCACGTACAATCGATAGAGAACTCACCTCGAAAACCCCAGATTCCTCCCATCAGACTAATTTATACTCTTCAAAAAAAGTAGGGGATATTGAAATGCAAATACCTATTGCAGGTTGTGATATAATAAATAGTCACAGACACTTGACATGCTTTAATGAGAGTATGTTCATATGAAGAACTTATCACCCCAACAGAACCACTGAGCTGCACATGCGACACGCTATTTTTAGCGCCATAGGGCCTACACGTGGGAGGGGTTCATTGTCAAATTTGACAGTTCAAGGAAAGGTTGATGAAAACTGCCGCGTGCTGGTTTATCCTAACCATATTGTTTGCTTTCTTATCGGTTCTTGCATACGATTTACTGTTTAGCGAATCTTTGCTTTAGTGTGTTACGTTTAATTTGATCAGGAAACGTGTTCGTCGACGTCAATGTCAACCGACAACATTGCAAGAATTGGCCGTAGCACTGCAAGAGGAGTGGGGCAAATTACCCCAAATCATGATTGGACGGTTAATTAGGAGCATGCCATGACAAATTGCTGAATGTCTGAGGATTGGTGGAGCAATTACTCATTATGAAGACAAAAATCAAAAACGTCCATTTTCACTTTTGACGGTGTATCTCTTTGCGAGTGAAATGGGGCCGTCAGATAAGCCGCCCATATGAACTGTTTATGTTCATGTGTACACAATTGGCCTTTTTATCAACATACACTGGTTACCTCTAATAAAAACAGCAGTGCATTTCCACAGTTTAGTATTGTTTCTGAATATCCCCCACTTTTTTTGAAAAGTATATTTTAAAAGTAGCTAAGTGTCTAAATCAATATCATCCAAAGTCGTCAACATTGAAAACACAAATTAGTTGTAAATTTAATTCAACATTTGTGTTATTGTATCGTGAAAAGATGGGCTTCTGATATCCGTATTTAAGACAAAATAAACATTTTTATTTACCATTGGTAAATTTGTCAATTTAAATCAACATTGGTGTTGTTATCGTATCGTGAAAAGGTGGGCTTCTGATATCCAATATTTAAGACAAAATAAACATTTTACAAATCGTGTACCGTAATGCGTTTCAGCGCCATTTGTACTTAGGGACTCGAAGAACGAGGCTAGACATATTCCACAAGTTGTGTCAAACGGTGAGGCCATATTCATATTTGGAGAGCATGTATAATAAATACTATTGGTGTAGACTGGAATAACCAGACGCTAGAGATTGCCATTCGATTGACACTTCTGGCATATTTCGCCGAACATAACTAATTTGAAATTAGAGTAAAAACGGAAACGATTGAATGTAAATCAGTTTATATACATTCATATTACATTATTATATGTATTGTGAGTTTGCGACCTATTTGTGTCAATTTCTAGGTCCCAAACATTAGCAATTTAGCTCCTTTAAATGTATAATACATTATAAAACAGCTAGGTCTATTTCAATCTATCGAAAGATCTCAGTTCCTTTTGATATTTGCACATTTCAGACCATAACTTTCTGGGTTATTGTACCTGATTGTACAAAAAATCGTGTTCGTTTTTAGCTTGTTCTCTATCCATCTCTTGCAAAATTTGGTCGTATCCTGCCTGGTAGCTGCTGTTTTTTTTTTATTGAAAGACCATCAGCCTCATTTCAAATCTATGGTAATTGTATGTTGCATGGTAATGAATAACTATTCACACCAATTTTATAAGACATGCGTCCCCACACAATTTATATTGTTTATAGCAGAAAAATACTTTTTTGGCTGGTAAATTTCAAAATGTTCTTCTGGAAAGAGATGACATCGACTCCGTGGACTAAATGAATGATTCAGATCAGCCACCTAAATTAGGCTATATTGGACAACATTGAAGTTGCTATATTTAATTACAGGCTAGAATAGCAGGAAAATGTGTTTGCTGCCGCCCCTTTAAATTTTCAAACTTTTCTCCTCACGATCGCGTCTCTGTGCACTTTAAATGATTGATTGGCATTGTATTAGACTACTTTGAAATTGCCGTTTTCAACTGCTGGAATAGCATGAAAACATGGGGTTGCATCCGTAAGCTTATATAATTTTTATAGGCCCACATGGAAATGTTGTATATTGCTGTTGCCTCCATTGGTCCATCCTTCGGTCGATTCGCCCTGCTAGGCTACATTTATTATCTGCTTAGTTTGACATATAGTGTATAAGTATGTAATACCAAGGTTGTGGACACTATATATAGAAGTGAAAATTTTTATCTGATCTTTATGAAACTTAAGATATATGTTTATATGCAAAAGATCTCTCCTTTCGATATTTGTGCATATCGAAACGTAACTTCCTGGATTATAGTCCTTGATTGTGCAAAAAATTGCATTTTTTGTTTAGTTTGTTCTCAGTCCATCTCTTGCAAAATGTGGTCATATCATGCATGGCAACCGGTGATTGATATTGTTACAGTATGTATTGGACCATAACTTCCTGGATTATAGCCCTTAATTGTACGCTTGTGGGCACTCTGATGAAACTGTAAGCATATGTTTATATCCCAAGGGTTTCTTTCGATATTGGCACATATCGGACTGTTCCTTCCTGGATTATGGTCCCTGATTGTACGAAAAATCATGTTTTTAGCTGGTATACCCTATAAAGGTCACAATTGTCATTTGATTTTAAAAACTGTTCAAATAGGTCACCGTTACACCATAATTAAGTTGAGCTGGAAAAAATGGTTGCTCCCCTTTATCGTTACTTAAAGCCAAGCTATGACTCTATTCTTTGAAAGCTCTAAATTGACAAAAATGGGTCTAAAATCACATATTAATGTAATATGAATGTATATAAAGTGATTTATTTTCATAATTTTAAATTTTTTATTTTAATTTTAATCAATTAATTAATGTTCAGTTAAATATTTTAACAGTGCAAACTGAACGGTATGTTCATTGTTCAGAGTTCGCTAATCGCTAGAGAATGATTTTCTGCACTGGAAAACGTGTTTGCGGCCGTCCAATTTTCAAAATTTTCTGGGGGAGGACCAGTGATGGATCATGACGAGGGCAACAGAGGCAAATTGCTTATTTTTATTTTATAGAAAAAAATAATGAAGACCCATTTCCCCAAAATCGTGAAACATATTCTTGTCGGGCAGGGATCCACAATTACTGGTAGACATTCTAGAGGTTAAATTTACTATCCGATTGAATTTAAATTTACACACAGTGTTTAAGGTCATGAGATGAAGAATCCTATTGATTTGCAGTGATTTCCAATAATTACTCCCAGAGTTATGTCCCTTGATCACTTTGAAAAATCTTGTGAACGCTGTAGAGGCTAAAGTTAATATCCGATCGACTTTAAATTTATACACAGTGTTTAAGGTCATGAGACGAAAAATCCTATTGATTTTCAGCAATTTCAGATGATTACTGCGAGAGTTATGGCCCTTGATCACTTTGAAAAATCTCATGGACGCTCTAGAGGCTAAAGTTAATATTTCCACCAATTTTATAACATGTCCCCACACAATGTATATTGTTATATACCAGAAAAATGCATTTGTGGCAGGTAAATTTCAAAAGAGATGATGGCGACTGTGGACTAAATTAATTACTGCCAGAGTTATGGCCCTTGATCACTTTGAAATATCTTGTGGACACTCTAAAGGCTAATGCTAATATCTGATTGACTTTAAATTTATATGCACTGTTTAAGGTCATAACATGAAGAAGGCTATTGATTTTCAACTAGTTTCGATAATAACTGCCTGAGTTATAGCCCTTGACCAATTGAAAAATCTTGTAGAAGCTCTTGTAGCTAATGCTAATATCTAATTGACTTTAAATTTATACGCACTGTTTAAGGTCATAAGATGAAGAAGGCTATTGATTTTCAACTAGTTTCGATAATAACTGCCAAAGTTATAGCCCTTGACCTCTTTGAAAAATCTTGTAGAAGCTCTTGTGGCTAAAGTCAATATCTGATTGACTTTAAACTTATACACAGTGTTTAAGGTCATGAGACAAAGAAACCTAGTCATTTTCAACGATTTTCCGATAATAACTCCCAGAGTTATGGCCCTTGGTCACTTTGAAAAATCTTGTGGACGCTCTAGAGGCTAAAAAATCCATTTCATTCATTCATTCACACTAATGTTTTCTGATAATTACTTATGGGTTATTACCCGTTATCAGATTTTTATGTGTTGTAAATGTTCTCATTTCTGCTTAGAACTAAGTATATGACTTCCCGCCCGCGATATACACCACAGACACCATTTCAGGTTGAAATTTCAGATCATCTTGTCACTAGCAGCTAGGCTGTCTCAGGGCCCGGCGACCTCATGATCTGTCAATGGGGAGGACCCCGGTACTGCCCTTCATTTGGGGATAGGAAGCATACCACGGGGGATTCTCTAACCCCCCCCCCCCCTTAAATGGCTACGGGCCTGGTCCAAACCATCACCTTATTAAAAACATTTGTTTTTTTCTTTTCAGGAATATATACAAGATGGAAAGATTGGCAGATGTTACTTAGTAAATAACAATGGATGATTTCCAAAATCAAAGATGTAGAGTAGAGTTGGTAGAAGATTTTCATAATAATGGAAGGAAACAAAGTTTTGATGTTTCCACTTCACCTCTTTCAGATACAGTCTATGTTACTAGTAAACCAAGCCTTCCACATATAGATCATTCTCAGTGCACAAGTCGTGCCTCTGAAAAATTAGATTTAATGGCACAGGCTTGCCACTTAGCTAGTCTTAGTCCTTTTAAGCAACCTGTAGCAACATCAAAAACCTGTTCATCAATGTTATTTAGTCCACAAACTAATGCTCTTTATCAACAGATGTCTTCCGTATTAGAGACAATGGATACTAGATCATATACAGTACCATATAATAGGAAACCTGGAGAGTATATATTAACTTCTACAAACTCGGATATTCTTCCTGCATCACAAGAACACAATCCATTGCACACAATGTCTGGCTTATTATCTAATGAGACTGTCCCTACAATACACTATAATAATAGCGTAAACTCAATTACACCTAACTTCACAAATAAACCACATATAGATAGTATATATAATTTACCTTCTAGTATTCTACCTGGTTCATCTTTTACTTGTAATCCAATTCCATCAATAAGGCAAGGTGAAGAAAATATAGCTACTGGAATGAAACCGTTAGATGAAAGTAATATGTTGAATACAGATTGTAGTAATCTACTAGAAACATGTATATCTGAACAATCTATGATGGTTAATAATAATCATACAACAAATATAAATAGCTCACCATGTACTACAAGTACTAATACACAATCAGCTATTACACATGGGGACCAATGGATTTCAGCACAGAAATCTGTTTTCCCTATTAGCAGTGGATTGAAACCTAACTTAGATATTCTAAATTCATCATGTGATCCCAGCTCTACATCCAATATGGAGGAGGTACATACAACAGATTATACATCAGATAAACAAACCTCTACAGATATAGAATCATACTCTTCGGCTACACCGGATAAAACTAACTTCGGTAAAACAGGACAGAAGCAAACATTGCTTGACCAAATGCGAAACAAACAAAAACAGAATAAAGTTGATGGTTTTAAAGATAAACAGTCTCACGAAACCCACAAGAAACATACAAGAGCTTCATATCTAAAGATTCACATGAATAGTCATACTGGTTATAAACCTTATCAGTGTTCAGTTTGTGGTAAAAAATTTACATATAAACGTACATTTAAAGAACATGAAGCTCAGCATGATAACAAACTTTATGAATGTAAAGTAGTCAATAAAACCAGTAATAATAAGAGTCGTGTATCTGTTTGTTCTGTGTGTGGTAAAACGTTTTCACGTCAAAACTATTTAAAAATACACCAACGAATTCATACCGGAGAGACCCCTTACTCCTGTCAGTATTGTGATAAAAAATTCAAATATAAACGAACATTTGTTGAACATATAGCGGAACATAGACAGATTAAATTATATGAATGTCAGGTTTGCGGAAAAGCATATGGTAAACAGAGTGCTTTCGATGTTCATAGACGAAATCATAAGAAAAGAGGGGAGGTAACTGATAAAATTTCTGTAAGTGTTACACCAGTACCCAGTAATAAAACCATGTTGATACCAGCTGAACCAGATAATAATAAAACCAATACAAGTAATAGATCACATGATACGGATATTCAACACATTAAAACCACTCTTCAAAATAATATTCTATTCAAAAAGGTCGGTAAAAAGCTGAAATGTTTGTTATGTGGTAAATTGTATCTGAGAAAAAATCTTTTGATTTCTCATCTCAAATCTCACGAAGACAATAAAAGTACATTTGTATGTTCATATTGCGGTGATGTAATAGATTCTGTTGTACTGTTAAGAGATCATGTGCTAAACCATGCATTACAAATATTTAATGACAGTGTTAGTTCTCAAAATATGCCAACTAAAAAGTTGACAGCCACCAAAAGAAATGAAACTACAAAAGAAAATAAGAATAGTGATAGTTCTGATGAAGCAATAACTGTCTCCTTTGATGAAAGTGAAAAGAATAAACCTTTAAGAAAAAGAAGACATAAAATAGAAGAAATATTGGCTGAAAATTCCTTAATGACTGGTATCCCACTTTCGAAATCTACAACTTGTAGAAAACGGAAATCAAGTAAACCAGTAAAGATTGTAAAAGATAAAACTGATGAGTGTATAAATGATGACAGTTTATTACAAAGTGATCTGTGTCCACCAGATGATGCCGATGATATATTTGCTGTTGAAAATAATTCAGAAAAGGAAAAGGATCTAGATAATTGTAATTCTGATCATGAACTACCTTCTAGAAATAGAAAATGTGCCAAGATTGTTAATAAAAAGGGTAGTCTTATGTGTGTAGTGTGTGGTAAAGATGTAAATAATCTGAAACTACACATGAAATCACATAATCGATCAGGACTTATTTGTGAGAAATGTGGAAGAGAATATAAATATGAATATTATTTAAAGAAACATATGCTATCTCATGATAAGCATAATGACATTAAAAAAAGGAGAGATATAAAGATTAATTGTGAAATTTGTTTTAAATCTGTTCGTGTGGATTGTTTAAAGAGCCATATGAGAACGCATACAGGTAGTACAATTAATTTCACTCATATTATAGCCAATCATAGTAGCATTCTTTATTTAATAATAACTTCTGTGGGACCCAGTATTATTATTATTATTATCTCCAGTTTAATACTTGTGTGTATTTCTGCAGAATTTTGCTGTTCCCATTTGAGGAGCCCCGGGGAAGAATGATCTAAGTCACTTTTTCAACAAGCCCCAGTCAATGGCGCCATCTGGTAGCAAATTCTATAAGCTTTCTGTGGAACAATCAATTTCAGGTAACAACGATCAGAGTCACATCGAACCAAGGCCCTTCTGAAATGGCCTCCCAGACAAATACAAGTCCATCGTATTTATTTGACCTTAATTTGGCTGAAAATTGAAAGTCAGTTGTACTGGTAATTGTGATTCGTATTAAACATCATTTTGAAGTTGTAATTAAACCCATTCGTTGTTCTGTTTGCGTCCAACATTCTCATCCAAAAGTATGTTTTGCCTTTTATGCGAAAAGACAAAAATGTGACTTATGCCCCATTGACACTTTCATGCAATCGTGGTACGCTTTGGTACGCTAAAGTTCGTACCAAGACGGAAACTATGCCTACCATTGCGGGAAACAGTCGTAAACTATGCGTACTATTGCGTGTCATGCGTGACAGTGCCGACCCAAAACCTTGGATTTGTCCAAGCTCATGCCACGCACTCCAGGGCGTACCATTTTCGTAAACTATGCGTACCCGGTGCGTAAAAGTGTCAATGGAAATTATGTCACGCACTGAAGGGTACTCAATGTCACGCATTGGTGCGCAAGGTTCATCACTGGTACGACAAGATCAGCAATGGTGCTCATGGGTTGATGTAGGTATCTGCCAGTGGTCAGGAATTCTTCCTGCCACTTGACGTGTGTCACTCATTGGTGCTCACAGTTTACTCATTGATCCTCACAGTGTACTCACTGGTGCTCATAATTTACTCACTGGTGCTCATAGTTTACTCTCATATACTCATTGGCAGGTTTGCTTCACTCACAGACGCCGCAACAATCAGAGGCCTCCGCGGGGGGGTTTCTTCATAGCAACATGCTTGCCGTCAACGGCTCCAAGACAGTTGTGGTAATTCCAACTGCTACTAAAACCTTCAGCAATAGCCTTCCACTGGTCTTCTGTTCTAGGACAAACTAATACTTCTGGCTTGTAGACCTTGACGATAGCTTCAAGAGGTTCTCTCATCAATGTTTAATTCTTCTTCAGGTGTGGGGTCAACTTTTCAATCATCTATTGAAACAGTTCGGGGGTGATACGTAGGAAGTTCTGGTAACCTCTGCGAACTTCCTTGTGTAGTTCCGACAATAACTGGTCATAATGGCCAAAATGTTGTCTCCTTGTCAACCATTGCCTCACCCAGAGTCTCCTGACTTTTCTTTTCTTGCTGCAGGCAGACGTTCTGTCGGTGTCAGGTTTTGATTGTAGAACAATATTTTGTTCACTTTCATCTTCTTCCAAAAGTAGTAGACCAGCAGCTGCTGTAAGATGTACGTTTTGCAAAGTAAGGTTCCTTTCTTCAAGGTCTCTGGAGTTCATCATTTTGAAGAGTTGCCGACGGAATGGACCATATCCCAATACCTTTCCTTTATATATGCCACAAAATGACTCACAAAATGGTCACGCATGCTTAAAACTGAGTACACTAGCGTAACCAATACCTGACAGTGCAGGAACTGGCGTACCATAGCACAAGTGCGCGGTCACCTGCGCAAACTGTGCGCAAACTATCCGCAGATATTGCGTACTGTAACGGGACAATGATGGACGATGCGGGACACATGAGAGACAACTAACATGGTACGAATGCACACTAGTGCGAACAGATTTTGCATACTATGAGCAAAGGTTGGTCAGCAACGGCACAAACTATTTGATTGACAGGTGAAAATACATGATATCCATACGCATTGGTACGCATTAATGATTACCATTGCGGATTCAAAATGCGTGAAAGTGTCAATGGGGCATCAGATAATTCTTCCCCTGGACTCTTCATTTGTATGTTAGCCTACATGCTGAAATCCTAACGTGTATATTGCGTTATTGCCTTATATACTGGTACATATGATTTGTTGCAATGTATAATAGTTAGGTATTGACCTGATGGAGGTCATAGTCTAATACTATAATGTATGGAAGACCAAACAAATTTGTATTTGGAAATTTGATGTTTGAGATTAGATTTGTTATTCGTTGTATGTTTCTGATGAAATGTAAATGTTATATTTTGATTTTCTGAAATAAATTTTATCTTTATATTAAAATACAATTTAATTAAAGAAAGATACAATTCACAAGTCTGATTTCACATTTGACAAATGTCCGATTTGTAAAACGAATGTTGATTTTAAGATACAATGTTAATTTTAGTATACAAATGTCAAAATGCAACAAATGAAGAAATAAGAATTAAGGACTATGAATTAAGAACTTAGAATTTTAAGAACTTTGAATAAAGAGATGTTTGGTCTTTCATATAATAATAGTGTGCTTAACTGTAAGATGATACAGGGGAAATAACTCCAACCAAGATGACATTTTTAACAAACCAACCATTCTGGAAAAAAGGCACTTGTAAGTAACAGACAATGTCAGGCACAGAATCAAGGTTTGTCAAGCACCAAACCTCTGGTGCCTGTCATTTTGTCTGGCACCGATTTGTCTTTTTATACGCCCACATTTTCATGTGGACGTACATTGTCGTTGCCCCTCTCCGTCCGTCCACAATTGTTTGTGAACAGTCTACAGGTCACAATTTTTATCCGATTTCAATAAAACTTGAAATATGGGTTTATCACCCTAAGATCTCGGTTCCTTTTGAAATTGGCATGTATCGGACTGTAACTTCATGGATTATGGCCCCTGATTGTTAGAAAAATCACGTTTTTAGCTTGTGAACACTTTAGAGGTCACAATTTTTATCCAATTTGGTTTAAACTTGAAATGTATGCTTATATAACCCAAAGATCTTGGTTCCTTTCGATATTCGGGCATATCGGAAAACGTAACTTCCTGAATTATGACCCCTGATTGTACGAAAAATCGCGTTTTTAGCTTGTGGACCCTATAGAGGTCATAATTTTTATCTGATTTAAAAAAATGTATTATTAATGTATGTCACCGTTACACCCTAAGAATGGCTAAGTTCGAATTTCGTGAAAATCGGCCCAAAATTGACCGACAAAATGGCCGCTGTTCGTTCTCAAATATCATAAAAATATGGTATATCAAGGTTGTGGACCCTATAGAGGTCACAATTTTTATCCAATTTTGTTGAAACTTGAAATGTAAGTTTATAACCCAAAGATCCAACTTGGTTCCTTATGATATTCGCGCATATCGGACCGTAACTTCCTGAATTATGGCCCCTGATTGTACGAAAAATTGTCTTTTTTAGCTTGTGGACCCTATAGAGGTCATAATTTTTATCCGATTTAAAAAAACATATTATTATATCACCGTTACACACTAAGGACAGCTGAGTTCGAATTTCGTGAAAATCGGCCCAAAATCAGGCCGAGATTGTCTTTACATTGATAGTATAATAAGCATGTATTACCAGTGTTGTGGACCCTCTAGAGGGCACAATTTTTATCTGATTTTGATGTTTATATACCAAAGATCTTGGTTAGTTTCGATATTGGCGCATGGTTTAAGCCCCAGGTTGTACGAAAATTCGCTTTCTTAGGTTCTCAGTCCATCTGCTCCAAAATGTGAACGTATCTTGCATGACAACCGCTTGTTTGTATATTTTTCAGGTGAACGCCCGTTTCAATGTGATCAATGTGGGTCTACATTTAAGCAGATAACACATTTAAAGATGCACATCAGAACTCACACAGGTGAAAAACCATATCAATGTCCAGATTGTGGCAAAGTCTTTAGAAAAACTGGTAATCTAGTTGTACACATGAGAAATCATACAGGTAAGACACAAGTGCCATCAATTCTTGTTTGTTGCCATTGTCCTACCTGAGTAAGATGCTGGTTCAGTAATACAGTGCTAGGACTATCTAAGAAAAAGTGCTAAATTTTGGATATTTGGGTTTGGTCCGGTTCACTGATTTTAATTGCTTGGTATGCTGATCTAAACAACCTGTCCGTCTTGAGTAGCATTGCCCTAATATAAATTACTATAAGCGTTGACAACTATGAACCGGCCAGTGGGAGTATCAAATAACTTAACATTTTAATTTCTAAAATAAAAATCTCATTTTATATAAAGTCTTTGATATCAGTTGTTTAGTCTTCCAAAAACCAAGTTTTATCATGCTGAGCTATTTTTGTACGCCCACATTTTCAAGTGGATGTGTATTGAGTTGCCCCTGTCAGCCCACAATTTATTTGTGGACACGCGGTTCCTTTCGATATTGGCATTTTATCCAATATTAAAAGCTGTTCTAACATATCACCATTCCACCCTTATGAGGGTTGAGTTTGAATTTCATGAAAATCAGATTGAAACTGCCCGCTCCTCGTTCGCAAATAGTGTAAAAGTATATAATACCAAGGTTGTGGACACTGTAGAAGTCAGAAATTTTTTTTATCCGATTTTGATCAAACTTAAAATATATGTCTATATTCCACGGATTTTTGTTTCTTTCCATATTCGCACATATCGGTCCGTAACCTCCTAGATTATGGACCCTGGGTGTACCAAAAAGTACAGTTTATACCCGATTTTAAAAACCGTTTAAATATACACCGTTACACCCTGGGTTTGAATTTCGTGGCTGTGGTCCCTCTAACGATTTATATCCGGTTTTGAAAAAAACTTAATATTATATGTTTATGTATCGAAGATCTCGGTTTGATGTTTGCGTATATCGGGCCTAACTTCTTGCCTTGTGGCCCCTATTTTACGAGAAATCGTGGGGTTTTTTTTTAGCTTGTCAGGTTATATATTCATATCCCAAAGTTCTGAGTTCCTGTCGATACCACACCGTGTCTGCCTGGATGATGACCTCATTTTTTAGCTTGTTCTCTGTCCATCTCTTGCGAAATGTGGGCGTCTCTTGCATGGCAGACGCTTTTTTCAAATATATTTCATATTAAAATTCACACTGTATATCAAAGTAGCTAAGTCTTTAACTCAATATCATCCACAGTCTTCCGGCATTGAAAACACGAATTATTTGTCAATTTAAATGAACGTTGATGTTGTGATTTTACCAGGAAAGGATAGGCCTATGCTTATGATATCCAAATTGTATAGAAGCCTATAAGTACCGTTCATAATCTCTACTTTTCGTCTCTTCAAAACACGAAAGTCAAAAAGTCGAAAAGTAGAAGTTACGACAAAATGAGAAGGCGTGATTCATCTTATTACCAATGAAGGGTTTTCTCTGGATCCGCTCACTGCTAAAAAAAAAACACTGTGCAAGAAAATTTTTGCTTTAAAAATGTAGGGTATGTTGGTCCAGAAATGACCTAGTTTTTGTTCTCTCTCACTTTTTCTCTCTCTCTCCATTTTATTGGGATTAAACTAAGAAATATGTCAGTAAATGAGGTCAGTGTTTAAGAGTATTTTGTTAATGATCTGTTAACTCACCTGACCATTATAACATGGGATAACTTACAATAGAATGATAAATAGTATGATATATAGATTATAGCCCTCAACTTCTTCACTCCTGCCCACTTTTAACAGCAAAATCATTAAAACAAAAGTCTGCCATTGAAAAAATGAACAGTCATCATCACGTACTTATCCCACACCGAACAAAGTTAAGGGCTTCGTCTGTACTTCCTTTTTTTTATCCAGAACAGATCTAATAAACCATTTAAGATATGTTTATGAAACTTTGTTCCCATCATCCTATTATAGTAATTGTGCCATTTTTTTTATACCCCCACATTGAAATGTGGTCGTATATTGTTGTTAACTATTATAGTGAGAACTGCCAGCTCTTTATCTAATCTTCCATAATGTATGTTTAATAATGTAAAACAAAGAATATTGGAGACAGGTGATTAGGGAAATATGATATAGATATAAATGGGGGGTAATTAAGGTGGATTAAGATTCATTAAAATATAGCTGACTGAACTAAGTAACACTGTGCGGACGTATTAAACATTTACTATTGGGCTGTAATTATCAATTGTAAGAATAATGCACATTTATAAACGAATTTCACCCAACTATGAGTTCTTGATGTGGAAATTTACACGGAAATATTTATTTATGGCTAGGGATATCATATCTTTCTTATGTAAATTACATCCTGCTTATTGTTGATAGCAGGATCTAATTTAATTACATCCTGCTTATTGTTGATATATATATATATATATATATATATAAGTAGGGTGACCCATGTACTCACAGAAATACAGTCCACCGCTGATAGTTCGAGACTACCACTGAAGCGTGCACATTCGCCGTGCCGAGACCAACTTTCTGACAGTATGATACTATAAATAGCCATGGCACGTGCAATTCTCTACAAATCTATCAACTATTACAGCCGTAAAAAATTTA